CCCTTCCGTTCTCCCCACCTCTGCCCAGTAGCTGCCATTTCTGACATTGTTTACGCTTACTTATGGGTCTCGCTTTAACCTGTTCCTCGATGTGTAAGGCAACGAGTGAGGTGTGCATAGTGATTAAACTAATTTTATGCAGCAAGAACGGCAACAGGAATGGCAGAGAAGTCGAACCAAACCACAAGAACAAGAAAAACACAAATACAAACGTCCGACGAGCGACAAGGAAAGCAATAAAAAACCATTTAAAACATTCAAAGTGTCGCATAAAAACGAGCTCGAGCTCAATGTTTTCGTTGACGGTGACGCAAAACTTGACTGCGACAATCGTTAACTGTCGCTGACTTTGTCGATATGTTGGCAGGACTACAAGTTATTATTCTACTCCCTCCGCTCCTTTTGCTGCTCCTGCAGCTGTCAAATGTGCGGCACCAACAAAAAAAAGTAGGAATGGAAAAAGCGAAGGCAGCAAAGTTTAGCAATAAAAATCTAAATAAAAGCAACGACGCGAGTTGCTAATAAAGTCATTTTCGCATGCTGCCTTACCTGATTGTTGTTGTTGTTGTTAATGTTACTGTTGTTGATTTTCACTTTTCTCTTCATCCGCCACGTACAGGACGGTGTCGAGTTCATTAGCAGCAGTGGCCAACATTACCAGAGCCTTCGCTCCTGTATTATCGTCGCCCCTAGTTGCACGGCTCGAAGGTTGCCAAGGTTGCGGTTAATTATGACTGTAACTTAATGCCAGCATGACAACATGTACAGCATGTATGTGTATGTGTATGGGGGGGGGGGGGGGGGGGGGGGAGGATATCTGATGTAAGTTTATAAAAATTACACGTAAATTGATAATCAATTTGTTGCTGTTTGTTGCACTGCTTTTCTGTTTGTCTGTCCCTCCACTGGCAGATTTTCAGGTGGATTGGAAAGTTTTCGCTTCTGGTGTTGTTCTTCTTTTGTGTGTAGCACAATATGTGTGTGGATTAGCATGTGGCTTATAACAATGCTTATTAGCTTTCATTAGTGCCTAATTACCCAAAAGCGAAATTACTCGTAAGGCAATTATTGTTAATGCATTCAACTTTGACGCATTCAACCCATTTACACATACTCATACATCCACAGGCACATGAAATAACGATATACTATATATTCAGAGTAGGTGCGAGAAAGAGGACCAAAGCGAGAGCAAAACTACTTAAGTACAATGAATTAGATACAAAGTTAGGTACCCAGAAAGTCACTCATTCGCGTAGTCGAAGTTTATGACTAACTTAAGCAGTCCACTGTTGTACACTTAAAAATACATACAAAACAAAGCTCAGTAAAAAAGGAAAATATTTCTTCGTTTAAAAAGAAACATCACTTATTCAAAAGGTAAACATGTCTTATTCTGTTCTTATTTACTTGTTTATTTAAAAAAAAGAGAATTGCACAAAGCACCACCAGTTTTGACGCTGGAATTGGGTTGGAAGTGAAAAAATAATATATAGAAGGCATGGAGATTTTAGAAAATACTTTAAAAAAAAAAGTAAAAGTAAGTTGGTTGGAAAGTCGAACAGCATTTTATTTGAACTAATATTAATTTTTTCTTAACCAATTATTTAATGATAACGAATTAATTTATTTTATCAAATGGATGTTTTTGGTCTAAATACTTAAGATTAAATTAAAGCATTTTAGATGACGGTTTTAAGAAGCTACATAAAAAAATAAAGTCAGTGTATCCTTGATTTAAATGGCCTATAAGCATAGTTTTGTGCGGTGTATTTATCCGTTTTTATAAGCCATGGCAATGGTGGGGTCATGAGTTCATATTCGCTTGGAACTTAAGTGCTCTTTGATGGATAAGTGAAAGTCTATCTCTTTGTATGAATGTACCTACATTTATAGATCAAATGGACATGTATTGTATTGAGCTGTACGTTAATTAATTAAAAAGACAATTACGGCTGATCAAATCAATCAATTAGCCGTTAGGACTTATTTCATTAGCGCCAGACTTTTGGTAACTTGACCAATACACTTTTACATTTACTCACACAGTAAGTGGGTTGGTGTCTTGGCAGCTCATAAAACACAATGCTATGAAATTGCAACAAAGTAGCAAAGTATTGCCCACTAACTTATACATATCTATATGTGTATGTGTATTTATATACGCCCTCAACTCTCAGTTGGGTAATAAAAAAGAGAGCTCAAGAAAGCACATGCCATTAGATTTGCTGCAACATAGCGAGCTGTTCATGCCAACATGCATGCCTGTTACTCCCGCAGCTGGCAATAAATAATAAAAATTTTCAAATGTGCATGCATACATTCGAAGAGCAGCTACAACTGCAACAACAACATTATCAACGAAGGGGTTGAGTAAAAAAGTACCAAATGAAAAAAGTCCATCAGAAACTTTTGCATGGCCAACTAACATGCTTCGAGTAGATAGTATGTAAGAGTACACACATTCTCTCTCGCATCCGTTGGTAAAATAAACATATGAAAAACTGGCATCCGTTGCGCTTATAATAATATTTTATTAAAGCCCTGCATAGAATACTCCAACACATATCTGTGTGTTCTTGTTGTCTTGTAAGTCTGTTTATGTGTGTGTGTGTGTATTTGTGCTTAATGCTTGCGAATGCGAACGTTCAACACCCAAGCGACGCACTCATCCAAGTTAGATCAGTCCTTATGGTTAGTTATGTATGTACTGTGCGTCTCCTAATGCTATTGTCTATGATTTTAATGCCAAGCAAACTTGTGACTCGTTGTCAATGTCTTTGATAAGCAGTCCTTTTCGTATTTGTCCTACCCCTGTCCTTAGACGCGCAAAAACTTTGCATACTCGGTGACTTCTGCGGTTTGGACTGTGATAGGCACCACCGCTATAAAGTTTTGCCAGCCAAAAACGAGAGGCGAAAACCAAAACTTGTTGCATTGACAAACGTGCCGTCGATAAAAGGAGGTTGAAGGGCAGGGGAAGTCTGTTTTCCCTGCCATACCCACTTCACAATGTCTCTGAGTCTGCTCTGCCATTGCATGTCATAGATAAGCAAAAATGTTAATATTCTTGCTTGCAAGCTGCGTGCCGAACTTTTCTTGCGCTGCTAAGTATGCAACACTCTTGCTCTTGTGGTTATTTTTGCAAATTGGATATAGCCCGAGGGTCCGTGTTACTACTTGTATGTGCGGCGATATATATGTGTGTGTGTGCGTGTGCGTGTGCGCGTGCTTGTGCATGTATGTATAAACGTGTTGACAAGCTGCAGGACTGACAGCCATTTGAGCGTAGCTCCCGCAACTGGCATTCACTTTTAACATTGCACCGGTTGTATGCCACCTGCCAACGACCCCACCATCCCATCCACCCCAAGCAGCCGTCAGCATCCCACACCATGACCACAATATAAATAGCACTGATTTGTGTTAACAAATATGAACGAAACTTGCTGCCTCTACCTGCCAACGCTATCATATGCTCCTCTCTACTCTGCTCTGAAAGTTGCTGGCAACCCAAAAGTTAAGCCAACCAACCTTACAACCCATTTGTTTATTATGAGAATTTTCACACCTAGAGAAAATCGAAAAACATTGTGTGTCTTCTATTGATTACCAGAATTAATAGTATAGTAGATAGTGAAAGCATTAAATTAATATGTCAAAGTAATCCTTGAAAAATTGATCAAATGGTAATACAATTTTGAAATAATTAAAATACTTGAATGTAAACAAATTTTCCAATTATGAAAATAATGAATTTCACTCAAATTTAATGGATTTATTTTCTTCATATATAACTTCATTAAATAATACATAGATCCCTTTTTTTAAAATGTCTGCAATCAACGACTTTTAAAAATGTGATATTTAAGGAAAATATGTTAGTAAATATAATACAAATAATTTTTTGCAATGAATAAATTTAACAATAAATTTAGCAACATTTTCACAATAATATATTTTCGTGAAACAAACTGATGGAAATTTCAAAAGTAGTCTTAAATACTTGTAAAATGTAGCGCCGATTGTCTTAATATAATTTTTTTTATTACGGAAATTGGTTTTTACGTGAAATTTTATTTCTTTAAATAAAAATAATCATATTTGAATGATATGAAAAATAAAATAATAAAACCTTCCGCTACATAAATAAAAAAAAATAATAGCTATAGAAAAATAACTTTGTCAGCGTCGAAGCCAAGGGCGTACGCTGGGTAGCAGAGAGAGGGGGAACTTAACAGAGTGTCGAAAGAGAGATTTCAAAAACAAGGAAAATAACTTAAAAAATAGTCTGGTCTGTTAAATAATGGTTTTGCTTGTTTTTTTTTTTAACTGTGGGAGGTGTATTATGCTAACTAATATAAAACTAAAAAATGAAAAAAAGGGTTCTGTAAACTTTAATACCAAAAACTGTATATGCTTAAGCTATTAATATGTATTAAGTGTCCTAATTGCTTTTTGCTTAACGAGTAGTCCTTATTCTCTTTTACATTAAGAGCTCTTTTGTGTTCTCTACCATAATTCAATTGCATTGCTTGAAATAAGCCGCTTACACCGTTCACATGACAGTTGGTTTTTCTTAAGTCTTTCCGATTTTCTCTAAGTGCAAGGCACGTTAAGGTGTTGGTGAAGGGGTTGGTCGGCCACAAAACCCTAAACTGATGACACACTTCACGTGGAGGTTTTTGCCGTTGGCTTTTCCTTTTTTTGTCGTTGGGCTGCTGCTGTTGCTGCTACTTCTGCCACTGTAAAGTATGCGCTCGTCGCTCGCTCATCGCTTGGTTTCGTTGCTGCATTTCCGCTTGAATGGCGCCTGAGCTTGGAGCAACTAACTGACTGTTGGTTGTCTGAAAGCCTGAATGCCACAGCACGGCATGTGCTTGGTTCTGTGTGTGTTTGTGTGTGGAAGTATGTCATAGCCACAGCCAGGGAGGTAGTGAGTGAGTGAGTCACGTTAGGCAACAACTACAATGGAACGCCCACGAATCTAAAAAGCATACTTGCCGTTTTAAAATTGTGTGCATGTGGCACTCTATATTGACTTTGAGGCATAAAAAGCTTTCGCAGATACTCCAAATACACTGGGGGTAAACATTTTATTACCGTTGTGTCTTGCCGTAAAATTGTGACCAGGCACAAAACATGTAACCAACTGTGAGAAAATGAACACCAACCTCAACCGAAGGCCTGGTCTGGCCTGGACTGGCCCGTCCTGCTCTGGCCATCCAAATATTGGTTGCCATTAGAGAACAGCCTTGGTTCGTTTGCTGCTTCCGCTCGAGGCTGCTGATGCTGGCGGCAACAGTTCAATATCACCAGGCTCGAACAAATCACAAAACTCCTGGGCGAAACTCTTCAGATTGGACATCTTGCTGTGCAACTGAACAAACGTGTGCTCATCAAAGATCTTAAGGCGTATACGGTCACCAGTTTCTCGAGTGGCATTGGCGCGTTCGTAGAGTTTTCGACGTTCCTCCAACAGGACGTCACAATGGCGATGGCAACTCCGGACAAACTCGACGATGTCCTTAATCAGACTGAGAACAAGACGATACCGACTACGAGTTAAGCGTCGCATCTGATGCTTTACCTCGTCGTACATTCGATGGAATCGGACGGCAATCGCAGTCATCTCATCGGGCATGCCCTTCATCGAGTCCTGAGCAAAGCATAGTAGGCCCTTCATATCGGTTATGGCGTGCGTGTGCGAGTAGACGGCATAGTCTGGCCACCAATCCACGTCACCATCGGCCTCGTCCATGCGCGTCTCGGGCACTATGCGCGTCCAGACAATTTGGCGCAACATGTGAATGCGCGGTAATAACATCTCGAGAATCAGAGCGTGTACGGCTGGTCGCACATTAAGGATATTCTTCTTCTTGCTGGCCACTTGAGCGGAAAGTTTACTGTGGAATTTTGTCGATTGTTGCATTGTGATTGTTATTACTGTCGTAGATGTGTACCGCTTGAATGTCAAATTGTTAGTGTATGTAGTGATAGAAATTGAAAAATGAACGCCCACTACATGAGATGAAATTTGACAAATAACATCGATTTCCTTTCTTTTTTTTTTGGGACATGCTTTTTATCATACTTGAAATTTCTATAATTCACTGAATTATAGTTCCATTGGATTCAAATCAATCAAAACCGATTTTTTTTAAATATATATTATGCTAATGAATGTTATATGTTTTAGCGGGAATGATAAATCATAGATGGTATATTAACAAAATTTTAGTTGTTTTATTTTGGATAAAGGCTGAGAAATTGTAATTTACTTTACTTGTAAAATTCTTTGTAACTATACAAAGGCTTTGCTCAAAAGCTGAAGTGCTTACAAATTATGATGGGAGTTTCTTTTATTTATTTAATAAAATGTTTTTAAGCTTTGTTAGTCAGCCTTATGTTTTAACTATTTGTCCAAATCATCTTAAAGAAACTCGTTTCGTTATTTTAGGTGATCACGAATTGGCTACCGAATTGGTAATGTTGAAACATTTAGTCAAATATTGTAAACACCCTAGCTGTGGATTTTTTGATTTTTTTCGAAAAAAAAATACAGTTTGAAATATGTGAATTTTTTTCAATTTGGATACCTTCTGGGCCCGACAATTTTTTTTAAATATTTCGCTTTAAATTTGACTTTTAGGCTACGAATTTTATTTGAAATTGCTTGTGCACCACACTATGCTACATAATTTGCTACTTAGTTGGCAGGCTAGGCCTCAAGAGGCTGTCACTGCAGTTTGCATTGCGTTGAGTATACACAGTCATTGTGCGAGTGTGTGTGTGATGGTGTGTATGTTTGCACGAGGTTTATAAAACTGTCTGACACACATAACATGTTGGTTTATGCCAAATGAAATGCAGTCCCGCCTTATCTCTCATTCTCGCACACACTTAGAGTGTTTGCTTGTATGTGTGTGTTTATGTCTGTATGTGCGTGCATCTGTGTCTGCTCACTTTAAACTAATTGTAGCTGGCGTTTTGGCCAAATGCTCAACGCCATTGTTGCAGTTACGCTTGCTGGTGCTGCCACTGCTTCCACTCCATCCCCAGCCAATGTTTTTTAGCCTACCCGCTTCCATATGCATTTCTATCTCTGCATTTCATTGTGTAAGTGTGTGTGAGCATTGTTTGTGTTTTAACCACAAACAAACAAAACGAAAAAATAAAATCACTCGCTCCTAGCTCATTGCGACAGACCAGTCGGTAAATATGTGTGCACACTCGTACTACTACATGCATGTATGTGCCTGTCTGTGTGAGTGTATGAGTGTGTGTGTGAAAGTATGCAAAAACTTTCGAGATTTGTGTCAGCTCGTTTGAGAATTAGTCGTAGGTTTTTAGCAAAATTAAAAAAATGCTGTCACTGTATTGTCGTTGCCATTATTGTTGTTGTTGCTGGTGCTGCTGCTGCTGCTGCTTCTGATGTTGGTGTTGCGCAGCTTACTTATACGGTACGGGTATGCAAACCCTCATCACAAACACTCCCCCTACCCCATCTTGCACTCTGTCATTCGTTTTATGTGCCTGTGCTTTTTAAATTATTTATATGCCGCAAAATGTGCAAAGTAATTTATTTTGATTATATGCAAAAAGGTGGCATTAAAATACACCAACAACAAATACTTATACTATGTATATATGTACATATATTTATGTACCAAAGAAGAATGAACTTATACCACGATACTCGTGCAAACTGCCTACAAGCGGTCGCACGTCAAGTGTCTAAGAGTCAAGTGCACAAAATTAAACTTTGTACCTGCCTTTCGTTACGTTTTTTCTTTTTTTTTTTACTTCCTGACTGAGTTGGCCGTAAAATTTTATGTTGCTATAATTTTGCTTTAAAATCACACCCACTGACGACTCCTGGGCTGGCTAACCAGCCCAACAGGAAAAAAAAATTAAAGATGGGCAAGAAGGCAACACCTTGCCGCACGCATTTAAACGGAAATAAAATAAAATTACAAAAAAGTGCGCAACTTTTTGACGTTGGGATTGCTATCGCTGTTGATGTTGCTGCTCCTGTTAAGGTTTTTGGTGTTGTTGTTGTTGTTGCTCCTGTAGTTACTGTTACAGTAAGACTGTCAGCGAGTGATTTAGAAACTATGCTACCCTCGTCGGCCAACAAGCTCATTTAACAACTGCCCCAACTCACATTCGCCCCATCGTTGTTGGCCATAAAGGTGAATTTAAAGTTGGCATTTTCGTGCCACTTTCATTTTCGCCACATCAAATGAGCAATTTAAATAATTTAAATGAATTGTGAATTGAAAATTGTTGACCCTCATTTTGTGTGAGCAGAGGAACAATTTTGGTTGAAATATAAAATCACGGATAGATTTAATGAAAGAGAATAAGTTACCAAGCGATTCGTCAACACGACAATTTGTGATTCTCTTTTTAAATTTATTTTGCATTTTGTCAAATTTATTCTCTACGGCAAAAGCAGCATTGTTGAGATACAAATATATAATAACTCTCTCTCAACTTGTGGATGAACAAGACTTATTAATTCTTAGCTAAATAACCTTTCTAAAAGAAATTAATCACAGATTAATTTCAAAAGCGATAATTCAAAGAAGGACATAAAGAGTTCACTTTTTTATTTGTCACATATCACTCGCTCAAAACTGTCAGTATATTCCCCCATTAATTAGGTGTGCAACCCAAAGGATCCCACATGCAGTAATTACGATGCATTTTCAATTTTGTCAAGGCAGCCAAAAATTATTTTTGCATGTCTAGTTGCCAAGCGCAACGAAAAATGTATGTTATGTCAAAATGTGTGTCTTAGGTGCAAATATTTCCATATGTTAGCGTTAGAGAATAATATGCTGAAAATGTTAAACACCGTTTACATATTTAATGCGCTCTAACAAGCTTAATCAACATTACAAAGTAATTAGAGTTAATTCTTTTGTGCTTGAATGCGCGCCCACAAGTCACACACACACACACACACAAACACACACACACACAGGAGGAACACACGCCCATACCTTTATTAGCAGAAAGGTGAACACGCGACATTCTCGTATATATGCTCGTACCTGTACTTGGCAAACACCTGACAGACACGACATTTTTAGCTCGAACGTTGTTGGCGATATTTGTAAACTGTTGCTCAGCAATTTCCATGGTTAATTATCTATTAACTTGCTCATAACTTTCACGAGAATATAAATTCATGTGCCCGAATGGAAATGGTAGCTGGTGTCAGCTACTTAATGCCTCTTGCTGCTGCGGCTGCCTTTCTCCAGCTCGACTTATGTAAACTGGCAGACACACGATGACACATACAACCACACATTTTCGTACGCACACTCGTACACAACCAAAACGACGCCACACTGTCAACATAAGACAAAAATTTACATCCGTTTCCGCTGCTGTCGCTTCTCAGTCCTTTTCGTAGACTTCGATGTCGTTGTCGTCGTCATCTGCGTCGCCATCTTTGTCGTCTGTGCCATTGTCATCATGTAAAGAGCACCACAGACAACGACGAGCTGGAAGAAGAAGAATAAGAATAGCAACAACAAGAACAATAACAAACACGAGCCCAACGCCTCTTGCGGAAACAAGTTATGCTAATCTTAATGTGCAGCCATTTTCAGTTGGCATTTGTTTTAAAGCTGTCCTTTGTTATGTCACAAATTGCGCTTATTAAATATTTGCGCCTAATTAAAATTATAATTAGGATTAGACAATTTTTCAGATGCGACAGCAGCTTAAACATTGGCAGCATTTGATTTTCAGGCTATTATTTCTCTACAGTACTTACATGGCAAACGTTTTTCAAACAAAGTAAATGCAATGTATATTTCCGAAACTCCGTTCCTTGTCTTTCTTAATAAGCTGATGCAATAAACCTTTAATAATAATCAAACATTTATTTGGCCTTTAGCTAGCTTACTTAGTTACCGTTGGCTGTAGGTGATTCAAGCGATTATTATTATTAAATTAATTGAAAATCAAAGAATTTTTACAATCAATGATTCGTGAAAGTACTAGGATATTTCTTGCGTGATAAGAAGGATAAGTGAATAAAACGTGTGAGGTTTATATATTCGACTAAATTTAGATTCAACAAACCTTAACAAACTGGGACATTCCTTCTCAATCTGCAGATACTTAACTAGCATTGAAACGTAGGTGTGAATTATTAAAAAGTTATCGATGTAGAAAAAAATCACTTTTAATATATTTACGAATGTCAACCACAATAATACATTTTATAAGATAGATAAATAGAATTACTTCATTAAGACAATAATGACAAAAAAAAACGAATAAAAAAAATTAATTTTTAAAGCAAGAACATTTATGGTCTCTTCAAGTAATTGAAGCTGCATAAGACCCTAAACAGTTATAAACATTTTTGTTATTAAAATGTTATTGCTTACTTTGGTACAATTTTGAAACCCTCAGTTAGCCAACTAGACGTTGAGAATTCTTGGTATCTCGTAACGTTGGCGATTTTATGAATGATGCTAAAATTCAAGTTGGAAGCAATCGGACCCCTCGAATCTGTTTGATTTTTTATAAAATAGTTTTATTGCTTATTCTGCCGCTGCTCATGCCAGCCACAGTGCCTGATAGAATTGCTAACCCACTGGAGCATTATAATACACAGCTCATTCACTTAATGTAGTATTTGATTTCCTTCCCATTTTTCTCCTGATAAATGTAGCAATGCTCGGTAATGGCCTCGTAGAACTCGCCGATGAACTTCACCAGCGGCTGCAGCTCAGAGCGCATCTGCCGGAGCGTGCACTCATCGAAGATTCGCAATAGAGTGCGATAATGCAGCACCTGTTCGGTTAGCTTTGCTGCCTGGGCACGTCGCAGATTTTGTTGCAACCCGTTGCGTCGCTTTATGTATTTGTCGCACTGTTCGCATACGTTTTGGGTCAGGCGTAGCATATCCGTAATGTCGGTGAGGGCGGTGCTAAAGAAGCGACTTTGGCTCTCTAACTGCGAGCGATGCACACGCGAATTGATGACCTGTTCGATGATAAGCTCACTGAGTTGGCGCAGCTCGGTCGGAAAATCCTTGAGCGTGCTCTGGATAAAGGCAGCTGCTTCGGTGATGTTGGTGAAGGGCAAGTTGCTGCAATAAATTAAATAGCCGGGCCAGTCGCTGATATCGCCAATGCATGGGTATTGAGCCACAAATACTGTGGTTAGGAAATGCCGAAGGCGTTTGAGCTTCAATTTAAAGTTGCTGCGCACGAACCTTTGCGTGGCCCTATTTAGCGGATGCATTTATGGCCTGGCTTGGGCTGCAACAGAAAATTTCGAGAGCTTAAAAGTGAACGAAATTTGAAGGCAATTTGATAAATTTTGTTATGTTTATGTGCTTTACAAAAAATTCAAAATATGTTTTAAAGCGCAGTGCGAGAAAAGGCAATCCACAAAAATAAATCGCGTGCGCTCTCGAAATGCAATTGCTCGTAGGAATGTACATATCTGCTTTTTATATGCCATTGTCATGCATACAAGTACATACACGGCTTTATATGACCTTTTCACGCAAGTGCCAAAAGACTAGCCAATGGGTTCGACCTCAATCGATCTCTATTATGGACACATTTTTGACAAATTGGCAGGCAACCGCAGTGCACGGTCTTGCTAATGGATGTCCCTTTTTTTTCCAATGATTGCTACTCCCGCCCTGGATATAGTATCTGAAACGTGTCTAGAATGTTAAAACTATTTGGCATACCTTTCAACTGGCTAGCAATAAAAGAAAATAAAAATGGAGAAGAAAGCAGAGAAAAGGTCAAACACTTTGCATATTATTTGCTTTATTTTCAATATGAAACCGAAACGAAAACCGAAAACCAGAACCAGAACCCCCGCCTTGCTTTACTCCTGTTGCAACACTGGACTACATGGCAGAGGCAATAAACGCTTCCATTACGCTTACGTTTTATAAGCCGCACTCTTTGGCATGTCCTTGTGCCGCTTTGCTTCAATGTGCCTTAGCTGTGTGCAGCTCTGTTCAGTTTATTTCTGGCCTTAATTATGTGCGGCACAGTACAAACAGCAGCCGTGCATATGTGTATATGTACGGGTGTGTGTATGTGTGTGCGTGTGTTCAGACAGCAGCATAGCGTAGTTAATTGCTCATGGCTCTCAGCCACTGGGTGGCCCACTTGACCGAGCTACATTGCAACGACTGTTGCTCTCCTCCCCAGGCTCAGACTCAGATCCGTGCTCAACCTCTGCCTCAGCCTCAGCATCGACTGCTCCTACGCTCGCATATTTAGACTCTGGCCATTTGGTACTGCTGGCAGTTTAGCTTAAATGCGTCTGCTTTCTGCTTGTGTGTTTAGCTAAAAATGTCATCATTAGGCAACAACCTGCAACTACACACGCAGGGTTTGCCGGTCCAAAAAATCTGCCTGTGCTCTTCGGAACTTGAAGTGCTGCTTCCTTTTGGGTTGGTTTAACGGGAATGTTAAATAAAGCTGAAAATTATGGTGTTAATATTTATTTATACTCAATTAGGAGTTGCTAAATATTAGGTGTTCAGTTTTATAATACCTGACATAGTAACGTTATGTTAATATAAGCTTCGAGTCCCGAAGCTAGCGAAGGGGTTTGTATTTTGGTTGTACAGATTCATTATAAAGATATGGTTTTCTTGTTAGTTGTCGAAAAGTTTCAAGTAAAGCATCAAATGCGGCCTATATTTATAGTTTATATACAAATAATTAACACAATCGGTTTTATAAAATCTATTTTTGTACAATTTTGAAAACAAGTTTTCTTTTTTCGGCTCAAGGAACTTTCCTTATATATGGTTTGATTACAATGTGATCTAAAATTATTTTTTATCCTGGTTATCAGCTTTGCAAGTGGCTCGGAAAAATAATATAACGAAAAATATTTTAGCTAAATATGATGTTCGAATAGGTTTGCTGTGACTTGAAACTGATTCAAAGAAGGTGCGTAACTGGCTAAAAATTGCTTTAATATTTTCGATTGTTCACAAGAGATTTTAAAAAGTGTGCACTTAAAGCTAGCTTGTACGTAAAAATTGTTCACACATCGTTTTTTCCAATTTTGCAATTTTCAGCTTTAGTTTATGTTAAACAATGAAAAAACTGAAAACTTAAATCCAAGTTCTTAAAGTTGATTTGATAGACAACAACGTGTACTAAAAAGCTCCTAGATAGGACTTTTTTGAAATTTTTTTCCGGCGACGCTCCAATCTTTCCGGAAAATCGTTGAGATGGCAGCATTGGGCGACAGCCTATTTATTATTTAAACTGGCGGCATACATACTCGTAGTTATGTATGTGTGCATGTATGCAGATGCCTTTGTCTGCGCTTGACCCTCTGTCTATGCTGCTCTCGACTCTACGTATATTTACTTATTTATTTACTTGCCTTTTACGTACATACATACCATACTATACTATACTTATATGCGTATGTTTTTTCTGTGTACATTTTTTGCCAGTGCCTTCTGCCATTCATCTCTTTATTTGCTGTCATATACAATGTTCTTGTAGCAAGAGCTTTGATGTGCTCTTATCAGTTCATCGCTCTGAATTTTTTCCTTGCAGCTAGTGCCCTCCCAAAAAAGGGTAACAATGAGCAAGTGTACAGCAAGCGTAGTCTATTAGTCTGCTGTTGCTATCATTTTGCGCTGTCTAGGTCGGGCCTTATGGCTCTTTTCTATTTTATTGTTGTAGTTGTTTTCGGTTTTGTATTCTTGGTAAATGTTCAAAGAGAAAATCTTCAAATGTTTATTTTTGTTAATTTACACTAAAATTTCCGTACTCAGCAGCACGTAATAATGAAGATGAAGAGCATGGTGATGATGATGACGAGAATCCACAGTCACACCCAAAATGCCATTTCCTGCTACTTAATTTCCGTTTCAAGTGAATTTACTTGCTGCTAATTCTGCTGCAGGCACACACACACACACACACACACACATACTATCACGTGCTCTGTTGCAAAACTGTGCCACACACACACACTCAACCTCCTACTTAGAAACAATGAAGACGAGCGCATTGTTTTCATGCTTTGCGCCCGACGATTTCACTAGCCTGCCATTTGTTTAGTGCATACATTTGTGAAGCGCAAAACAAAAGCCAAACAAAGAGAGCACATAATAGAATACAGAAATAACGGAAAAAAGAAAAGCGAAGCTTTAATATCCGCAACTCGACCCAAGAACAGGCCAAAACAGCAACAAGCTGCATGGCCAGGACAGCCAAGACACTTCAATGTTTATTGACGGCCATTACACACACAACAGAATTGCGCATATGTGTGTGTGTGTGTGTGTGTGTGTGTGTGTGTGTGTGTGTGTGTGTGTGTATGTATGCGTTTTTATGTATGTGTGAGACTGTCTGTATGTGTGCGCATATTAAGCCATTGTAAGCTTCGGTAGCTTGCTTTTAACCCAAAACTCAACGACTGAACGTCTGAGACAAAACTTTTAACTGAAAAGCATAAAAGCTTCATAGATATTGCTATCATTTACAGTTAGCAACAACAACTACAATAGCAGAAGTACATAGCAGTAGAGACAACTGTACATCAGTTTTAGGGATGGGAGCGAAAGCTATGCCGAAAAATTACAAAGAAATCGAATTTTCAATTTCTTAAACTAAAAAGCTATTAAAAAGTTGTACTTTCGGGTAAAATGCGAAAACTTCAAGGCAAACGAGGCTCGAAAAATGGTATGTTGGTAAAAAAAAAACCGCAATGTGTGCGGCAGAAGCACAAATTTTTATACTCTTTGATTCCAAACGTGTCACGTGTATGAGGTTTTCCGCTATTATTTTTCCTCTGCATTTCTTTGGAACATCACATGTGCGAAGCATAATTAATATTTTAAGCTATATTCCTCGTTTGAGTTCACGATGACATCAATCGACTCCCCTTATTGTGCCAGGCAATTCTTGTGGTTTGAGCGTATCCATTCGGCAGTCTCGAACCTCTGTTCAGGAGCTTGTCCATGCGGTCCCAAAAAGATACCGGAACAGAGTTTATGGCAAATGTGCACTGAGTGCCTCGTTGTTGCCATTCCTGTCGTTTTTGTGGTTCTGCTCGTTGGTTAGTTCGCTTTCATTTTGGTCGTACATTTTGTTTCGTATTGTTCGTGGCTCATTGTCTCTGGATGACTTCAGTCTATAGCCACAGCCGCAGTCGTTTGCCTCTGCGGTTGGGATTTCTCTTTCCAATTGAGTCGAACGCTCTAAGTAAGTGTGTCAGATACTGAATCTGCTTGTTGAGATGGTTGTATGGGTTGTGCCATTCAATGTAGCAGCTCGGGTCAGTCCATTTGACTTTGTCAGTCACTGCAAGTGGTAAGTCGTTGCCATTTGTAAATTGTAATTTAAAATCAAAATCATGGCATTGCATATGCCATTCGAATATTAACATGAATAATACATTTATATTTACGGCAATTACAATTGCGGATTGGGTTGCAACTGCAGGCTTAGCTTCGTCATTTAATTGCACTTACCTATGTGTGTTGAATGCATTTTCAAATCACATCCAAATTGATTGATCTAATATGCACATGTATAAATTCATTTGTAAGTATGTTCATTCATATGTATGTAAGTACATATATAAATATAATGCGTACATATATGTACATATGAGTGTGTGTGTGCATAGGCGGACCCAGCGGCGCATGTGAAATGGCGTTTCAAAAATTATTTTCCGCGCATTATACATATTTCAATTGATATTGAAATTGGTGATTTTGAATATGCATATCTCATCGTTCAATAAATATTTCAATTTAGGGAAATATCCATATGTTAAACGTTTATACTAACCCGGATGCACTAAACACAACATGCAAGCCGCCACCAAAGCCAACGGTAAGTTTTCCATTCACCACACGAACTTCAATTAATGAATGAATAAATGCAATTATTTTGCTGTGCTGCTGCAGGCCCAATGAAGTTTATATAGTACTAGTATGCCTAAAGTGCAAAGGCCAAATGCATTTTCAGCAATTTATTAATGTATTCAAGTCAAGTTTTAGGTTAACATATTTTGTATGCATATACGAGAAGTATACAATATGTGGGTATACTTATACTTTCGAGGAGAAAAAGCACTTAAAATAACTATCAAATTATTTGATGTTTAAAAAAGTCTTAATATACAAGTATTGCGTACAAATGAACAATTTACAATTATTTGAATCAAAGCGGCGAATAAATGTAGCACTATTCCCGTTCCATCAACAAGGGTGTACAAATTTCCAGATACGCGAATAAAAACTTATTATGTTCCTAATGAACATTTAAATAGAAGGTAAATATATTGTTAGTTGTGCCACCTCAAATGTTTTCCTGTATCTCTTAAGGTACCTTTTAAAGTTATTGAAACAAATTATTGATTATTCCCCGTTTTTTGTTGTTGTTGTTAACGTTATTTTTATTCTGTGAGTGTCATAAGTATTGAAACGATCTTTTACTGAAGGTAGTATATATGCATTTATTCCGAATAAGGTTTGAATAACCATTCGTAATAGACAACCAATCAGGTTGCTTAAGAAATTAAATATTTATTTATTCGTTTCTTTTATGTTTTGTTTTTTTTTTTTTTTTAATTTCCCCAATTTTGCTTTTGTTGTTGTTTATTTTAGGAGATGGATAACGAAATATTAGGAGATCCAGATACGACGGTATGTGTACTTACATTTTTAAACCATTTTTACCATTTTCAACGTTTATTTATTTAAAACTGTTTGTAATTTTATTAAGTTCACTATTTTACCCACTCCCTATTTTTGTTAATCAGGTCTCAGATCAGCCAATTATTGATGATGAAGATAATGTTTTGAGTGACGATGTGTGGAATAAAACACTTGATGTGAGTGGCTTGGTTAACTCGAAATCTCAGCTTATCCCAACTTTACAAATTTAGTAAAATTTAAATGAAAATAATTATAGAGTCGACCGCATTAAAAAAGCCTCATTGTTATTGACAGTCCTATTAAAAGTACATACACTCTCACTGCGGTCTTTGGAAGTGAAGTGTATTTTGTATTTAATTAGCTATGTATTAGATAGCTTGGTAATGTTAGCAAAACACTCTTCAATTTAAATAAACCGTTCTTAGTTCGTTACATCAATTTTGTTAAAATTACTGAAATCAAATATTTTATGTTAATAAGGAGTTTCTCAAAAAATATCAATACTGTTTATTGCAAGATCATAGAAGTACTGAAATAACTATCTGCCTCAGGTATATTACCCTTTGCCTACATTATATTATAAACATATATGATTGCTTAAAAAAGTCCAAGCTTGCGTAAAAAAAGATATATTTATTTTTATTTCATTTATTTCTGTTATATTTTTTTAATTTTCCCTATTGTTTTTGTTGCCGTTTAATTTAGGAGATGGACAACGAAATATTAGAAAATCCAGACTCTGTGGTATGTGTATTTATATGTATTTTTTAATTATTTGAAAAATTTTTCTGTTTATTTATTTAACACTGTTTGTACTTTAATTATATTTTGAAATTATTTCTTCATTTTTTATTTCCATAATTTCACCCTTTCCTTTCCTTTTTTGTGTTAATCAGGTCTTAGATGAGCCATTTATTGATGATGAAGATAATGTTTTGAGTGACGATGTGTGGAACAAAGCACTTGATGTGAGTGGCTTAATTTACTTGACATCTTTCAGCTTCACCCATTGCAGCTTAGCTTTAAAGCAAAGTATACAATTTAATATACTTTAAATGCAAATAACTGCAAATTGTTATAGAGTCGACCGCATTAAGCAATTCTCATTGTTATTGACAGTGCACTTGAAAGTACGTACGATTTCGTATTTGCATGTAAAACAACAACAAAAATGACGCAACGTGTTTGTCCACACTGCGGTCATTGGAAGTGAAGTGTATATTGTGTATAATTAAATATTTAGCCATAAGTTAATTGCAATATGCAGTTAAAATAAAATTAATGTGAATTTTATAGAAAAATAACAACCATTTGCACTTACGCTTTCATAAATTCGCCATCACTAAACATGCAATTCTCACCTCTGTATTTTTTTATTCGCAGGCGACAGACATTTACGAGGCCAGTGGAATTCAGCCCCCACCTGGACAGACACAATACACACACGAGAGACGTGAGTAAAACCTTAGGAAGGAGTAGGCCACTAATTGAGCAACGGTTAATGCTATCATTTCTCTACTTTTAGCTTATCGCGGCATAAAGGGCGAGAAGGGCGAACGTGGCCCCAAAGGCCCTCCTGGCGAAACTATTCGCGGAGCGCCGGGTCCGCCGGGCCAGCCAGGACCCCCAGGTCCCAAAGGGGAATCGGCAACATATCCGCCCTTTATAGATACGTCTGTGGCGGGGGCTGTAAGTATTCCACAGTCTGTAAGAGATTTACAAATGTGATTTTAACATGCAAAATACATTTTTACAATTCTTAGTTTAAATGTAGAACATTCATTATTGTACGATGGACAAATTATAAATTTTCTAATTTTTAGAATACTGCTGACAAATTGTTTAAAAGAAAAAAGGTTAAGAAAATATGTAGTATTTACAATTAAAATTTGTACTAAAGTAGGCACTCACTTGAATTGCACTTAATATGCGTGAAAAATAATACCTGCTCGCAAAAACATTTAGGTATACTATATTTATCCCAAAAATACATATACAAAACGTTGCCTTGTCGACCCTCAGATTTGATGTTGCTACTAAAGTTTGGTAAATTCTCCTCGCAAAATAATTCGTCCGTTTTGATTTTATTTCGTTTGCAAACTTTGACGTTTATTCATTCCACTAAATAGCTAAGCAACTCATACAATTGGGTATTAAGGGTTAACTGTGGCCAGGAGTGGATTTCGGGCAGGTTAATATTTGCGTGTTGCTCTATGACAGCCAACTCAACTCGAGTATAAAGATCTAAACATTTTTTGTCATATGCTAATGCGGCCTAGACATATACTTGAAATCAAATTGTCAATTAGATAGAGCTGCTGTCCTTACAGTTGAATGCCTGTCTGTTCCAGTAATTGAACTTTTGACATGTGTTTTAGGCTGAGCCATGATTTATAATTTTTTCCTTTCTTTTTTCTACTTGTATCTACGCCTTCGTATAGAAATACACTGGCAAATGTACATGTAATGCGTCTGATATCCTAGAAGCTCTCAAAGACAACGAAAGGTTACGTGAATCGCTACGTGGAGCGCCGGGCGCACAGGGCAAGGAGGGTAAAACTGGAGCTCCTGGAAGTACCGTAAGTAAAACATTAAATCGTCTATAACATACTATATACGGGTTTGAGAACGAGTGTAGGGAAGAACGGGTTAGAAAACGGCAGCCGGAGACGATGGCAAAAAGGCAATATTTGGCATGAATCTAACACATTTTCAATTTCATTACACACATCGTCTAATCTTCAAGTGGTGGGGGGGGGGGGGGCAAGTGCCTGATGGAGTGACTGGCTGGGTAAGCACACACACTCCGACCCACCGATCCACCAGCCCACTGGCCCCACTGGCCCACCGACACACAGGAACCGACAGGCTGCCTCAATATGCTCTGCCCTTGCTGCTTCTGCAGCTACTGCTGTTTTCCTATGTCAAACATTATAATTTGCAGTATATGTTGGTGTCTGTGTGTGTGTGTGTGTGTGTGTGTGTGTGTTTGAGTGTGTAACCGGAAATGGAAAAAAATAGAGAAAGGAAACGTAGCAAAACGACAAAAACGTAAACGACACGAAACGCAACGCAACAAAAAATTCTTTATGACTTTGAGCGTAAGCGGCAGCTCACGCTTAAACACTTATCCACTCTCGGTGCTTCTCGTTATATTATCTCATCAACTGGCAGCGTCTTTGGGAACCATAAGAGTTGTATCTATATACACATGAGCGTGCAAACACACAGATACCCACACATGCATGCCTGCTCGAGCGACAACTGTACTCGTACTCGTAGTCGTGTGTACTTGCCATTTAGTCCTGTGAACGAGCATGTGTATGCATGGTGTATGTATGTGTGTGTGCGTGTACATAGAGTAGTGGGTCAAAGGCAAAGTCTACACTGTTACAAGAATCTGTTGGCCTTTACTTAAAGTGCATGCCGTCTCTTCAGAGATCTAAGCACAGTCAAAGTTGCAGTTGTATCTTTTGCCCAGCTAACCGAAAATATGTAATAGATACAGGAACACACACAATCGCACACACATATTCTCATGCCATACATATGGATGCATACATAGAATACATAAAAAAGGTGAAATCCATTTGCAAATGCAGCTTATGCCGAGCCAACATGAAAATGCATTTTACCCCAGACTTGAGTACGTGTCAAAAGATAGACATAAAATATACGTACCCTGCCACTCAACTAAATACTTAGGTTTAGGATTTGGCATACGAAATTGAAAATGAAAATATTTTTAAAAGGCAAATTAAATAATTATATTCACTAATTTTGCATTTAATGCTGATTAACACAAAAAATTCGGTTTTTGTATCCCGTATATCCACTTGAAATATCCGTAATCGAATCATGTGCAGAATGTAGGAGTTCAGTGAGTCTGATAATAGTGGTGAACGTTACAAGCCAATGAAATTAAAAGAATTAAATGTGTTTAATAAAAGCTGAATGTTTTATTATATTAAGATGACTGGCATAATTTCTGAAATTTAATAAAATGTAAAACTTTAGTTATTAACTTTTATTAAAATGCTTTAAATACACTTTATGTGAAGGGTGAGACGCTCCTCGCCCACCTGTGATGCAACATTATTATCTGTTAAAATATTCAATTAGTATGATGTAAATTCTTCTCATTTTTGCACCGAAATTCATTAAATTCTCTAGTGAGTTACAATTAATTATAAAATGATTGCTACTTTCCTTTTTATACTCTGTACATGAAATGTACAAGAGTATATTAGGTTTGCGGGAGCTGAAAAATGTAACAGGCAGAAGGAGGCGTGGCAGACCCCACAAAGTATATATATTCTTGATCAGCATGACGAGACGAGTCGATCTAGCCCTGTCTGTCTGTCTGTCCGTCTGTCCGTCTGTCCGTCTGTCCGTCCGTATGAACACCTGGATCTCAGAGACTATAAGAGATAGAGACACCAAATTTTGCACGAAGATGCGTTATGTGTGTATTCTATACGAGTTTGTTTTATTTTTTTGATTTTCCCCCCCACTTCCCCCCTATGGGGGTTTTCCCGATTTTCCATTCGTATAATCGCCTATATCTCGGAGACTATAAGACCTAGGAACACCAAATTTTAGTCCCAGATGCCTTATGTGAATACGCAGAAAATGTATATTTTGGAATTCCCCTCCCTCCCCCCTCTACCCCGCAAATCGTAACTCCCGTAATTCTTGGAATTTCGAACTAAAATTTTGGAAATACCCCCAGTTGGTTATTATGTGTCCGTATGCCAAATTTCATTATGATAGACCGATTTAACAAGAAGTTATAGCCATAAATATATTTGCTGATGCAGCGCTGCTGCAGCGCTGCTCAAGCGCTGCCCGCGGCTGTTGTTGATGTTGCTGTTTGGTTGACTGCGAAAATGCTTACACATACACGAATAGATGCGCATAGGCATACATACACTCACACAGACGCAATTGCTATGTAAATGTGCAATTACGTGAGTTCGAATACCGAGAGAGGTAAAATCGATCAAATTTTTTTTATTTTCTATAATTATTGTAAACATATGTACAGAGTATTTCAAAGTCGGGACACCCGACTTTAGCTTTTTTACTTGTTAAAATTATGATAGTTTTATTTAAATCGAACGGACAGTTTTAAGGCGAAGCAATTGTTCGTAAATAGTTTCTAAAACCTCAACTCAACTAAATTGCGAGTCTGCCACTATATACTATATGCATATATGTATGTAACAGATTTGAGAGCTTGGCTATTATTATTAAAGATTTTCTTCTTTTGGGCTTTCGGGCGTTCAGCGACTTGTGGAACGTAGTCTATTTAATACCTTGGAATACATCAAAAGAAAAATGGTATGACAAATATTTTGCGGTGGCCAAAGTAGCGCAAATATGCGAGCTTTCAAAATATGCCCAAATGTAAAGCGCGCCAGAGCTAACCAGCCAGCCAACTAACCAACAACATGAACAGAGCATTAGGCCATAAGCCACACAGCAAGCTAAGAGACATTTGTTGACCCTTGTAGCATGTACGATGCTCCCCATCCCCTCACCGCCCACCCACTATTTCGACCATTCCAAGTATGGCGTTTGAGTAAAATATGGCAAGCAGGCGCGCATACCGGAAATTCCTGCGACAATTTTGTTGCTGTGCTGCTAATCCCTTAACTAATAGCAATTAATTTAAAAGACGACGATAAGAAACAGAACATTCCAACAACTACAAAAACAACAACAACAACAACAGTTACAACATAACACGCAAATGGCTCACATCGTGACCATTTTACATAAGATTAAGAGCATTGGGAGACACATTTTTTCCCCTTAAGTTGTGTATTGCGCCTGTCCCTGACCAGCTAGAAAATTCCTCGGCAACCACCACCCGCACCACCTCCACCAACATCACCAAACAACAGATCCGGGGCAGCTGGCCCGCGTAGATTAATGAGCTCGGACTAAAACGCAACGATTATGTAAATCAACCACAGGCAGTTGAAACGCTATCCATAGAATAACGCCCCTCCCCCACCCATTGACCGCCCACCAAAAATAACTAAGTATAGTACATAGCTAGGATTATGTACATGTAGCTTTTATATACTTGTATGTACTCGTATACATATACTTACGGACTCCCACTAATGTGATTTATTTCTTATATTTTTCTTCTCTCTCTCTCTCTCCATCCATTTTCATTTGCAGGGAGCCACGGGCGTCGCTGGCGAACGTGGCGCTCCCGGTCTCAAAGGAGATCGCGGCGAGCGTGGCGACACTGGCGCTCGTGGACCGGAAGGGCTTCAGGGGCACAAGGGTGAGCCAGGTGTCGACGGAATGCCCGGCGTCGCAGGTCCACCAGGACCACCGGGCCAGCCTGGCTTGCCAGAGAATTACGATGTAAGTACAATTTTTTAATCGATTCTACACTTGTCAACCTATAAGTAATATGCTTAATAGATTGTGCTTTGCAAGCTCAAGTGCACATATAATTAAATGTGTAAGCCCTCAGGATAGTCACTAATCCTTTATCTCAATAAATGTGTCCATTCGGAAACAATCATGCTATGATTAAATTGCCACAGTTTCATGTAAAGGCTATGACCTAATACCACAATAATTTTAGACAGCGCCCTAAGGTAGAGCTTAAACGCCCGTACTATAGATAATGGCATTAGAATTATTTAAGTGGTCACGGATTTCAGAGTGAAATAAAATAACCACAATTCATTTCATTCATTCAATTTGCTTCAAAACGGGTAGAGCTAGTTTTGAAAACTGACCGGAAATTTTGTCTGCTCTCATCAAGGGCGCCAGAAAGTGTTATTCTACGCAATAACTTTTGAAAATGTGATATTTTGGAAACTAGTTATTAGATGCAAAAAAACATGTGAATTGAGTAATCTTAAAGACTGAAGAATGAACGTACATTTAAAGTTATAACTAGATAGAGCAATTTCAGGACACCCAAAGGCGCAACAAAAACAAATATTCTAGACTGGTTTTGGAATCCATAGATCGTTGATATGTTCATTGTTTATAAAATATCTAATAACCGAGTACGACCTTGGGGAATGACTGCATAGTATTAGAAAATTTGAATTGGAAAACGGCTTTTCGAATAGCGATAAAATTTGACTCATCGCTTTGTATTATGCTCACAACATACTTTTTACAATTATCATATATTTCATTGTGTGGAAAAAATCCAAATATTTCTTCCATTTAAAGTATATACACCGATTAATCGTGGACAAGCTTGTAAAGTGCATGCAATTTTCGGCCTGCCGGAAGCTTATCTCTAATGAAATTAACATTATAATAAATATGTATTTATTTTAATTTTCCCATTTGTTGTGGCTTGGTACAAAATTGCACCTTTTGCGTGAGGCAACCACTCCATCAGCTGCATTTTCCTGTAAGTGGTTGTGTTGTGTTGGGTGCGTCTGGGCTCTTAATCACGCACAGGTTTATGAATTGAAAGCCACCGCAGACGCCACCGCAATATTTATTTACGCGACGGTGGTGTTTGTAAACGTCGGTCATGTTTTACAAGCTCCACAATTTGCCTAAACTAATTTCCTTCCTGATGGTGGCGCCGCGCACACTGTACACTGTGAAAAATAGCTTCCCAGTTGTGAAGGAGTTGGTGTGGGCGTTGGTGTAGGTGTGGTCGAATGGCAATGTGGGGGGTGCTCTATCTGGCGGTGTGCACGACGTGCTTTTCGTTCCCGATGTCGTTGGCACAAGCAATGCCGCAAATGGGTTATCTGTGCTAATAATCTTAAAACCACACAGGTACAACGGCAACAACAACAACAACAAGAACAGCAACAACAGCAAGAACAACAGCCCTGATAGCAAGACCACCAACGAAAACAACATCTCACAAAAATGCTGAAACGTAAGTGTCTTGAACACGCAAACCGAAACAAGTCAAATCCAGGCGAAGGCGCCTCCGCGACTGGTCGCGCCTGCAGGCGTTGCTTGAATGTGTCGGCATGCCAGCTTGTGGCAATTACCGTTATCAGCGCATGGTGCGCAGCTCACGCCGCTAAACGCTAACAAACACACAGCAAAAGTCGAAACTCCTTATAATGAACTTATTTACCTTCGGCGGGTTTTTGTAAAATCCTAATCAACAACAATAGTTTATCATCTAAAGCGATATCAAATATTTCTTCATTTTTACTTCTGAACTGTACTTATAAAACAAAGGTAGGAAATGAATGATTGACGTAGCGCTTTATTCTTACAAATAAATGACAATTTGAAAATAAAATATCGAAGTCGGTCTATTAGTATGTATTTGTATCAAAAATCAATTCAATGTGCACGCAATTATTTTGGAGGAAATTATCAAATCTTATTAACCCAAATGCTTTCGAGGCCTCCAAATAATCTTCTGATATCTTAAACAAACTGGAATTTTAACACCTGTTAATACCAACATTGAATAAAGTGAAAGTAATTTTTCATTTTGAAGCAGGCTCAAAGTTTTCCTTCTACAAAATATTCACGAAAACAAATAAGGCCCCAGTACAGCATTTTGCGAAGATCTAAAAAAGACCATTTTACATTTTCATGCAGAGCTATAACTAAAGAGTATTTATTGTTTTCTCAGTCTCTTTAATATAAAATTTCTCCCAGATTTCTTAAGAAACGTTAGTGTTGTTCATTGAAAATCGGATTAAGATCTCAACTGCTTCCCCTTTTTTAACAGATTTTACCTTTGAGCCTTTAAATAATAATGTTGTTCTAATTTCATTTTAATTGACTTGAATTTTTGTTGACTTCATTTTCTTGGGAACTTGGCAGCGAGTTCCGCTTAAAAAGTTTCGACTGTACATATGTTTGTATGTTTGTCAATAGGAATATTCTTATGTATGAAGAGGTACTTTCATATCGCGCCAGCATTTGTTGGCCCGACATTTAACCCTTTCATGCAACTGTTAAACTTTTGGTTCTTTTTAACGGTTTGGCTGCCGTATTTCGACACCGTCGCCTGTTGTTAAAGGTTATCAGGCTGGGAAGAGTTGGTGTCCGCCTACTCGTGGGTGTAGGTGAGTGTGTGTATGTGTGTGTGGTCGTAATCATTATCGCACTGTTACGGTTATGAAAGTGTCAAGCTACTTATGGCAGTCGCGTTGCCGTTAAATCAGGCTTCCCCATTGTTTTATGCTCAGGCCAGGATGCGCGCCGCACTCTTGTACGGCAGTTTATTATTTCAGTAGCCTTAAAAGCTTTTGCAATTGTTGTTACTGTTGTTGCTGCTGCTGCTGCTGTTGCTGTCAAACATTTTGACCTTGTGGGTGTGGGTGTGCCTAAAAGGAGTGGGCAAAGGTCGGCAGGCGAAATGTGGGCATGGGTCGGAGGAGGTTGCGGGCTGTGCGTGCATCAAAATGCTTTTATGTTTATTAGAGCGACTTTTGATTGTTGACATGACGACGTCGAGGACGATTCTGTAACTTTTGAAATGTTTTGATACATTTTTAATGCCACTTCGCCGGGAAAGTCAATTATGTAAACATGTAAGTACAAAAAGGTGCAATTTTGTGAAGCCAGAAGGAGTAAATAAATATAAATTTGTACCAACAATCAACTAACCAAAGAAACAAGCTCAATTTGTGCTTTTATTTTCTAAGCATTAAATGTTTAAAGCTCATATATATAATAATACGCTTTAATTTTCACGCACATATCTCAAAATGTATATTTGAAACAAAATCTTGCCACAAACGAAACGAAAAACCATACACACATATTTTTTGTAACAACCAAACCAACACATAAATAACAGATAAATTGGAATCCTACCAGGACTTTCAAGGTATAAATATTTAACAATTTAACTATTTTTTTATAAAATATACAAAATATGCACAAAAAGTGCAAAAAGAAATGAAATACTTGATCTGGGTAAGAAACGAACGCTACATTTAATGGACTTGAACCACTCGGCATCATTAGGCGCAACATTAGCGGCATTGCCAAGAGGGACGCACAAGATCATTAATCAAATTCGCTAAGCATATATCCATACATATACAGCATGTACGTGTATGTACTTGTATGTGTGCATGCATACGTACATCTATGTGTGTATAGTATGTATGTGCGCCCTACAAGTAGGTGGTGCCTGCTGTTAAAAAAGAAAGCAAAAGTGGGGCGAAAAATACATTTATCGAAAATAAATTGTACAACAAGCAAATATTTAACAAATTACTATGCTTACGTTCTATTCCCACACTAATACACACCCACATACAAACACACAAACATAATGTACAGGAATCCTTAATGGTCAACTCGATGGGCACATTTCGAGGCTCAACGGTGCCAGGACCCAAAGGTGCGCCTGGCGAAAAAGGTGAAACAGGCCGTCCCGGTGACCGCGGACAGACGGGACAGAAGGGCGACCGTGGCGATCCAGGCATGACCGGTGAAAAAGGCGAGCGGGTAAGTCAAAGGCGAAGGCAATGGCAAAGGGCGACACAAGCCTCGGGGCATGTGTAATAAATGGTCATCTGTGTATATATGCCTGTGTGTGTATGAGTCTATCTGTCTGTCTGTGTTTGCTTGTCTAAAGTGTATATACAAGGATATATGTGTATATACATCTGTACATATGTGTGTGTATGTTCCATTGTTGTTTCAAATAATAATTTCTGCTCTATTGATTACTCAATTGATTTTGAAGCAAGGGCCTAAAACAACACGCCCCAGCAACGGCAGGGCCACTGCTGCGTATGTGTAATATGCGTAATACATACAGACAAACACACACACACACATACAGAGCCTGTGCTGGACGACATGTACATGTGTTCGTAATGCTCAACATTTAACTGGATTGTGGATATTTTTATTGCGCTACACAAATTTTGGTCAGCGGAAAATATTCAGCACATAATTGGGCACATAAATTTATATCAGCCGCCCATTTCAACAATATTGGTCTATAAGTATTCAATGATTGCCTGATTTCTTAGCATGGCAATTTGTTGTCGTTTATGGCTATATGCTTTTCCCTTTTTTAGATTATCCTTTACACAAATAGAACTTTGTATAATAATTCTGACTATCATTCTCTCTGCCAATCATTTTCGTGACTTCAATTTAAGAGCTTTCGCAGTTACCACATCGCTGCCAATGACTGGAACTAACGAGGGTGGTGTGGCAAGTTTATACTTGTTTCAGACTTCATGAGATTGAAAGCGAAATTTGGAAAAAGGCATCAAGTTGCTTCCAACGGAAGACATCAGTATGTGGGTTAAGCTGCTATTGTTGGAAAAAAGTCTTCAAGCTCAATCATTTTTCGATTAAAATCTGTACAATTAGATAAGTTCACAATTCCGACCACATTTGTCATTAGTTATACTTAGAAGTACTTCGAGCAGTGTTAAGTGCGTAAAATCAGAAATCAAAATTGCTTTTATTCCATATTATCTTGTTGGTTTGGTACATAGGAACTTTTGAAATTTTTAAAAGATGAATTATTATGGATTAAGGTCACCGTCATCTGTCAAATTACTTTCCTGCACCGCCTGCACCTCATGTTCAGTTTGAAATTTCCTCCCCTTGTTCATTTGGATTTTTGGGGGCTTCAAAGCTGGCATTGCAACTAATTTTAGTTGAAGATCGCCAATCAATGCACGTGCCAGCCAAAGGAATGGTTTTTTTACTTTATGATTCAACTTGGCAGAGATTTCGTAATACTAGGATGGTAGAAAGACTATTAATTCATAAACTGCTTATTAGAAAGCATAAATTTATTTGCGTTTTAAGCAATTTTGCTCACCTGTTGATTGGAGTGATTTTGGAATTTCACTTCTCTTTCCGAAATTTTCCGATCCTTCATGTCTACTTTATTGCCGCAAAGCACTATCGGTATATTATCGCAAATGCGTCTCAGATTGCGCTCCCAGTTGGTCACATGCTTGTAAGTGGTCCGTGAGGTGACATCAAACATGATAATGGCACAATCCCCAAGACTATAATAGTTATCCCGCAGGCTATTGAAATCCTCTTGCCCGCATGTATCCCAAACATTGAATCGTATAGCACCCCGATTTGTGTAAAAAATCAATGGATGCACCTCCACGCCCATTGTGGCGACATATTTCTTTTCGAACTCACCGGTCATGTGTTGCTTGATAAATGTTGTTTTTCCCGTACCTCCATCACCAACCATTACGCACTTGAAAGTGGGTACATTGTCAGCCATTTGAGTCATATTACACGCAATGACAATATTATTGAATGTGGACAATAAAATACGTGTGCTGGCAATCAGCCAATACAGGTATACTTTACCAACGCTTGTGCCGAAAATTGAGGGCTTTTCGTAAGGATATTCTGTTGGCGCAGTACAAAAAGTATATTTATACGTCAATACTGAATCGTTTCTAGAGACAAACCGATATTCATCAAATGCTGTTGCTCTTTACTGTAATTTCAGCACGTACTTTGTTCTGTAATCACTTTTTCATTTTTTCAAATTTTCAATAGAACACAGCTCTATTTTGGTTTTTTGTGATAAATATGCTACATGAATAAAATGTAATAAGTAGTATATAAATCAGCTGCTTGTCTTTTTTCATGTATTAATATATTCAATTACCGATTCGGTTAATATGGAGTAATGGGAGCAGTTTTGTTAGAACTTTTATACATCAAAATATAATTCTATATATTTAGAAACGACCTTATGCTGAAACTGGTATATTTTCAATTATACGCAAAAAAAAGTCATAAGACTTGTTTCTTTTTAAAAATTGAGAGCATATTACAGATACGTGTATAAAAAATTCTTGATATGTTTAATACAAGATTTAAAGTACAGTCAGCTCAAAATTTATTTAATAACGAACAAAAGCACTGGTTTCAACCCAGTTTTTCGCTTGATTTGAGTTCGAAACAAAATATTTCAAATATTGTTATCTCCATTTTAAATTATAGTTTTGGAATTAACAATATTTTGTCCAACGATGAAAAATAATAATGTTGACATGCTCATAATACCTATTATCTTAACATAGTCTAGTACAGGATAGAGTTCATTTTTATAACATTTAATCTCAGTAAAAGTAATGCAATGGAAATTAAACATTTTTGTGCAGGTTGCAAAAGAGAACTGGAGAAAGTGATTTCATGCCCTACTTCCTAGTTTACAATTCTTATTTTAATTTATTTGGATTTTCTAAGAAGCTTGTTTTTTGTTAACTACTAATACTAACAAAGAAATAATACCACCCTCTTTCAGGCAAATTATGGAGATAAGCCATCCTCAACCCTGAGTCATTTACTGCTCAGCCCCACTTGGCTGGCACTATATATTTTCATAATAAGTTTTTTCCGTCGCATTCATTCTGCTTAGAGGGGGCAGCACTCACTTACTTCTTCCCCATTACGCTGCACACCATTTAGCGGCTTAGAGGCTGATGCTACCCTCGTTAGCATCATGTGCATGCCAAGTCAAGCCCAACCAAATCAAGGGCAGGCAGTTGCCATTTGCTGTCTTCACTGTTAGTTTAAAAGACAACGAACACACACACACACAAAAAAAGGAAGAACTAGGGAGCAGAGCCCAAATATATTTTTTATGTGCCCCTCAAAACATAGAGCTGTGACATACAAATATATGTATGTATATATGTACATATATATGTACATACATATATCATCCATGAATACTTACGTACATGCAGATAATGCGTGTGTGTTCTGATGGGCGTGTCGCACGTGGGCATGGGGCGTTGCTTTTTCGGATTGTCAGCCGACTTCCGATGTCGCATAACTCACTGAAAGCCCGTTTCCGTATAGTTATTTTTGCAGGCTATTACACCTAGAGTTGGTGTGTATGTAGGTGTGTGTGTGTGTCAACCTAATTTGAAGGCACAAGATTTATTTGACCTTTGATATATTATTTATTTGGCCACGGTTGTGGGTAAGTTTGTACGCAATATATCAGTTTTTCTTGAACCTTCTCTTAAGTAGTTTCTTTGTACAGACGCAAACACACATGCACACGCATGCAAAGAGACGACAACATAGGGCCACGCCCAGCTTAATCGTGCGTGAAATAAAAAGAAATTATGCAAAAGTTTCACTCAACCCCAACAGTTGTTGGCCACACATTGCACATGGGAGGGAAAAATCGATTTGATTTTTATGATAAATTTACGCCAAATTAGGCTACGCATAATCGCACATTCTTGGTTATTGCATTACAATTTTGTGAAACTAAAATTGAAATTAGCATTTTAAACGCACAATTAAGCACATTTCATTTAACTCAAAAGACGACAGCGACGACGACAAGCATCCAACAGACAAGGCCAAGAAGAGGAGCCTACACCCACGCCCACACCCACACCCACACCCAGACAAGGAAGCCGGAAGCATTCACGCGTACTTTGTAAGGGTCTCGTACATGTGTGTGGGTGTGCGTGTGCGTGAGCGTGTGCGTATGTGCGCGTATACATATCTGTGTTTATGTGTGTGTGCGTAGCTTATTAATTATTCATTAGTTGGCATTAAGTTGGCAATGCTGGCAGCGAAGTACAAAGCAGCGAAAAGCTTAGCACAGGGTCAATTTTAAACTGCCGTATAGGCGTGGTGGCCTACATGCCGCCTTTCATGCCGCCCTTCATACCGCCCTCCTCTTTCCTCCTCTCCTTCTCACCCACACAATCAACATTATAACAACAACAGGAACAAGAAGGCGCTGCAAATTTATGGCAAACCATTTAAGGCGCTGATGATGTGGAAGATGACGCCGACAACGGTGGCAATGGTATCGGGGATGAGGATGGCGATGGCGATGCCTATGGTGATGCGGATGTGGATGTGGTTGGGTGTGGAGGGGAAACAAAAGTGAAAGCTACGCTGGGAATAAATTGAAAACAGTTGGCAAGGGCAACGCCAGCGGGCTACGGCAAGCGCTTTGCAAATTTCCACAAAGCACTGCCAAACCCCGAAAGGCCTTACAATATTCAATATAAAAACGTTTATTTCATTGGGTCGAATACATGATTCTCTACATTGAGGCTAATGGCTTCTATAGTAACTAGAATTCTTGTCTTAAATCTTTGTAATTTATTTCCAAAAGTATATTTATTATATTTATTATATTATATTTACTATATTTATACAATTTTATGGTAGAATTTTCTTTTGACTGAAGTTTCCAATTTGATATACAAAATATCGAAACTTCCAATAATAATTAATACATTAATTTTAATGATTTATTCTACTAAGCTGTTAGGCTTTCTAGATTGCAATTACTAATAAAAAATGTGGCAATAAATTATGTATGAAGTTGAAATATTTCACGTATTTCATTAAAATGTTGACAAGTAATTCTGTCATAAATAAATAAGCGCAATAGGAAAAATATAATTAAATCAATTAAAAAATATCTATGGTATATCATTGTATAATTTACTGGTTTACCGATCAAATGCAGTAGTTGGAAATTTGAAATCATGTACATATATGTATTTTGATAAGTTATATGGATATCGGCTCAGTTAAAGAAAAATGGGAACGTTGTTCCGGCCTATTTCCGCCAGCAAGTCACAAACCCTTTCACAGAAATTGCGGAACAATAAGGGTATAGAAAATCGAGAGCTAAAAATACGCAAACCCTGCCGTTGTAGTCTTTGGGCAATGGTTTTGTGTTTTCAGGCTTGTCACCCATACTGCAAATATTGAGGCGCATAAATTTTTCAACGGTGCGTAAGTGTAACTGGCGGCATGTGTGTGTCGGTGTGTGTGAATGTGTGGTGCGTGTGATTGTGAGGATTGTGGATTTCAGAATTGATTTGATTTCAAAATGAGTTTGAATTGAATTTTGGCGGACGACAAAACGTTTGAAATTGAGTTTTACGACCAAAATTAGACAAGCGGGTGCCCCCGAGGGTCGCATATATGTGCTCGTGTGTATATGTGTGTGTGTGTGTCTGTGTGTATACATGAATAATGTCCCAAATTGTTTCATTCGCAGGGTCACCAAGGTGCGCACGGACCAAGTGGTGCCAAGGGCGAACCCGGATCTCCTGGCGTCCCCGGTCTAGCTGGGCAGCCGGGCGCCTCCGGTTTAAAAGGAGATCGAGGATTACCCGGAGAAATGGGTCCTGTGGGACCTATTGGCCCACCCGGGCAAGTGGTGTATGCTGAGGCACCGTTCGGCAATGGCGTGCAAAATATCTCGCAGTGTGCATGTCCAGCCGGAGCGCCTGGACCGCAAGGAGCACGCGGACCACACGGATTCGATGGGGCTCCTGGTTTGAACGGTGAGCCTGGTCCAGTTGGACCTATCGGTTTGACCGGCCTGCCTGGTGCAAAAGGAGAAAAGGGCGAAAAAGGCTTGCGCGGTTTGGGTGGCCCCAAGGGCGATCGTGGGCCTGAGGGTCCGCCGGGGCAAGGCTTTTTCGCCGGCGGCTTGGAAGGCATGGCTACCAATGGGACGAAGGGCGAAAAAGGTGAGAAGGGTATGCGCGGACGACGCGGCAAATCGGGTCCCGCTGGACCAATTGGGCCACCTGGCAAACCAGGAGCCATGGGTGATATTGGACACTCGGTAAGCAAAGCAAGAGCACAACACTTGACAATGTCCAGGTAACTTTTCATTCCTTCAGCATGCATATTCATGAACTCTTCTGCGACTTTCAGCTAAGCAATGCAGTTTTGTTGCCGCAGCCGTTGTTGCTGTTGCTGCTGTTGCTGCTGTTGCTGCTGCTATTGTTGCTGTTATTATAGCTAGCATGAAAAGTTCGTCAAAGTCTCAGAGGCACAGCTCCTGGCCACATTCGCTAGCTAGACAATCATGAAGAAGAATGGGAATGGGAGCACGAGAGGCGCTCAACTTGGCGAAATAAACTCAAACGAAAAGTATTTTAAGTGCATTTTCATCACGGCTATTCAGGACGCGAGCACGATTCCAATTGCAGTTGTGCCAGAATTTCAGCCATTATTCCGCAATAGCAACAACAGGATCAACAACAATAGCAACTCTCTGTCGACTCTGTCGTCACGACACGGCGGCACAAACAAAAGCAAACTTTTCTGTCTGCACGTCTGCCAACTGGCATCGCTTACCACTTTCCGCTAACCGCCTAGCAAAATCAAAATCAAGCCATGCATTTACATGAATCGCAGCTATAGCTACGGATATAGCTATGCAGTGAAGCCAAACGAAAGTTTGACTCAATTTTTGGATATATGCCACTACGAGTACAAAATTGCTGCACTTTAAACTGCAAAAGTTTCACCATTTCGAGCAATGAAGCAATTTTGTTTAGTTTTTCAAACTTACTGGCAGTCAAGCACTTAGTAAAGTCTGCCGTTGCAGCTATAATACGCTTATGTTTAACCTTTGTTTATCAACAGCCACTGCCAGTTGGCAGTTGGTGCATGTACTTGCCATTACCTCGCTAGAGTATCCGCATTTGCTCATTTATTGACATGACAAAGGAGCCAGAGATTTCAAAATTATTTATATTCACAGGGCCGTCCTGGCATGATGGGAGCCAAAGGCGAAACGGGCCCAAAAGGTGCCAAAGGAGATGCAGGCGGACGTGAAGGGGTGAGTAGGGTATACCTTATACCACATCTGAAGTGGTTATCAAGGCCGCAGGTTAGGTAGTTAGTGAGTTAGTTGTAAATCAGAGGCCATCTTAGCCTGCTCGATAAATAGTAAAGTAAAAATAACGTATACGTAACATGCTTATTATTATTATTATTATTTGTTCTCACTTCAAAAAGCCCAAGGGCGAAAAAGGCGATCGTGGACAGGATGGTCGCGACGGTCTGCCCGGTCCGCCGGGAATGCCCGCACCAACTGGCGGCGATGGCGATAGTGGTGGAGTACAATATATACCAATGCCAGGACCCCCCGGTCCACCCGGTCCTCCAGGAAGTCCCGGCATGCCGGGTCTTTCAATTTCCGGACCCAAAGGCGAGCCCGGCATGGATCCGCGGAGCAGTTTCTTCGGCGATGCTTCCTACTACAGTCGACCAGGTAAGTTAAAGCAGGCGCTCAATGAGATTTCCTGCACATGTAAATATGTATATGTATAGGTAGGCTAGCTCTCAGATGCATATACACACACACACACACACACGATATGTCATGTCACAAGCGTGTATATATGTACCCATGTAACGAACTACTCCTCTACCCTCTAACCCACTCTGAACAACAACCATGCAAAATACCCTACCCATTTCTGTATTGTATTGTTTTGATTTGTATGATCAAGGTGCGCGCTCATCTTTAGACGAACTCAAAGCGCTGCGTGAGCTGCAAGATCTGCGCGACAGACCCGATGGCACAGCCGGTAAAGGAAATATCAAAAAACTAGAAATTGTATTTTGTGTATTGCATGGCAGTTACTTGTACTCGTTTGCAGCGTTTCATTAGTTAAGGCGTTAATAACACTTTCAGCAGCTTCATAACTCATGCATTTTTCATACCACATACCATGTCATAGCCAATTGGATGTCTGGCGCTCATTTCTGCCCATCATTATTAACTCATTTAACCTTAATTAAGTGTGTTCGTACTGCAGATACTTCCACCGATACATACATGCTCGTACATACCTCTTCATATTTTGCACACATACTCGTAATTCTGCCGCGTCATGTCGTAGCTTGATTTTCACTTTTGCCCCACAATTTCTCGCACACTCAATTTATTGCAGCAACAACAGCGCGAGTGAAAAACTCACAAATCATGGCCCAGCAATAATAATATACTCGTATACACTTATGTATATTTTGATGTAATCTATATGTAAATGTTTGCCAACTTACTTAGCTTTGCATTCCACTTACTGCCAAACTCTAACTGCCAAGCCACTACCTAACGCCTTGCAATGCACTACTTTCAGAGCCTCCGCTGCTGCCTCCTCGGACCGCCCACTCCCACAAGCACGACGAGGGCGAGGAGGGGCCATATTTCTCCGCATCATCTTCCAACATGCGAATCGTGCCAGGTGCAGTCACATTCCAGAACATTGATGAGATGTCAAAGGTGCGTGTGCATCCGCTTTCCGGCTATCCCACACTTTCCAAAACGTTTCACGCATCTATTTGACTCCCTTCCTGCTTATAGAAATCGGCACTCAATCCGCCTGGCACACTGGCCTACATCACGGAAGAGGAAGCTCTGCTGGTGCGCGTCAACAAGGGCTGGCAATACATAGCGGTGAGTTGTCCACATTGTTTGACTTCGGCGCCTGAACAAATAACATGCAGTATTCTTAAACAAGCAATTTATGTCGCGCTATGGGAGGTTTTAGTGGTACTGGGAAAAAGGGGTCCACGTTATTATTTTATTGAGCGTTCTTTGAGTTGTTTGCCTTGCTGCTTTCTATTATGACAATATCGCTTGGAAAAACAATCTCAAACACGCTGCCAGGATAGTTGCACCCACAGAGGTACCTTTTAGCTAAAAAAGACCGTAGGGAGCCACGGCACAGTGTGATAATTCCACAATTTATTTGAACAAAATGGGTTCCCAAACAATAAAATATAGTCTGCATGCAACGAAAACCAATTCAGAAAATGTTTTTCATTTTTGCATATTTTTCTCTAAATAAATTTACCACATATTTTAGAAATCATAGTCAGAAAAGTAGCCAAAAACATTACGCGAAAAAATAGTGAATAGTAGTATAATGAGTAGAATAACTAATTCAAAAATGCATTAAACATTTAAATATAAAAGAAAACTCGGTTTAAAAGTGTGCCCTTATTAAATAACTCAAACGCTTTTCAGTATTTATAATGTTTTTATTGGCTTATTTTTAAATTTTCTATAATCAATGAACTTTGGACATACAGCCCAAAGTTTTTTATCCAAAACTTTGATCCTTTAACTAACAATTAATAATAATAAAAAAAAGCTCAGGGCATCTTTCAAATGTAATGACGTTTTTAGTTATTAGATTTAAGTACCGTTTTCTTAGTCAAACAATTTATGAAATGCTAAAAAAGATGCTTATCTAATATAAGCATAGAGTTTAATTTTTATGTATTTATTTTTATGGTTTTACCAACGCATATAACTTCTTATTCCTTAATAGAAATACACAAATTTGTGCAGAGATTTTACTATTTCTATTTACCTAAATAACACTAAGCTCGTACTTAGTTTAACTCAAAGGAGCGTTTTTTCGGTAAATCTCTACTAGTGCAAGAAATTCTATTAAGTGAGGTTTTTAAGATACCGTACCTTGTTTAAGCACCACCACCACTTCCCAAATAATTGTTTATGTAGCTGCTTTTTCCTATCATTTATTTATTTATTTTTATTTTTTTTGAGAGCCATAAAATAAGGTTCGCTTGGCATTGCCCTTGTATCGGAATTCTTGTATTTTTATTTGCACATTAAATGCTGCACAGACGTACTGACTGATTGGCCATACACCCGTAGGAGTGTGTGTATGAGTATGTGTGCGCGGGTGTGCACGTTATTCAATTATATTGACTTGAGCTTGCTTTTTTAGCTGTGCAAGTTAACGGTACAAAAGGCATTTCGATAGCAGATCGACTCACAGACAACGGACGGACGAACAATTCGTGTCTACTTACAAGGAAAAGACAGAGTTCAGTCAGCAGTTGAGCCGCTGGAAAACATTTATTGACGAAACATAAAACATGCATACTTATACATACATACATACATACATATGTATAACACACACACATACATAACAAACATAGGCAATGCGACCCAAAAGCTACAAGCACATGCTGCCTATACACATAAACATAAGTGTGTGTGTGTGTGTGTGTGTGTGTGTGTGGGGAGGGACGCGTGTGTGCCATAAACTGCTGCAGCAGATTAAAAATAATATTAAACGGAAATCGAATATTTTATTTTGACTCAAATGGCAAAGCTGCTTGCAGGCACGATGCCAGGGCTGCCGCACGAATCTGTGAACAGCATTTGGCACAGTCAGCACAACTCTTTGCTCTCAGCCAGCAATTAATCTTGCCTGTCAACGTGTACAAGTTCTTCAAAGGTAGACCGGCTGGCAATTTGCCATGGTCAGCGATTGTGAGCGGCAGCTAAGCATAAAAAAAGCTCACATACAAATGAATTTAACATGTACGTGTATATGTGTAGGTATTTCAAAATTACACGCAACATTAAACGGTTCCATTTCTTCTATTCAATAGCTTGTTGAACACATCTAAACGCTGGCAACAGAAGCTTCAGTTTATTTTTATATGATTCCCCCAACCCTCGGCAAAAGCTGGCACTTTTTTTTCTGTCCATGCTAAATAAACAATATTTTCAAAATTCCCCAAGATTCGATTTCCGCTTACCTTAATGCCGTCTACCTGACTGCTGCATGAGCCACAAAGCCACGTGTTGTCAGCTGCACAGTGGGCGTGGCCGTTTGCTCGGCAAGGCGGCAATCGCCAGCTGTGTTTCTGCCTATGCATTAGCTCTCGGCTGCCAAAAGCAGCAGCTGCCGTAGTAGCATTAAAACACTTTCAGCATAAAGCCTGCCTCATCCACGACAACTACTTACAATTCCAGCAAATTCTACAGGCATGTACATATTTTATACACCCTTCTTCTTAGTGTATACAAATTGTATAATATATATGGAACTCTAATGACTGCTCATTTTATAACTGCAGTCTGCAGACCGTAACCAAAATCTATTGATATAAATATGTATGAACATGATTAGCACCAACACAAAATTTTTATTTCGGCTTGAAAGCTAGAGTCGAGCGCGCTTAACTCTTATACACACTGGCCGGGTATTAATTAAATTTAGGACTGAAATCATTTCTCAACTGAAAAGTTAAAACATTATTTTAAATAAGACGATAACGTAGTATAACTCATATACATACATAGTACATATAACTTCCATTCAAAGTGAGTATATAGTATGTAAAAAGAAACCTATACTACTTGTAGTCTTTTCTTGAGTCTAGAGGAATGAAGATGACAAATGTCGAAAATGTAGCTTTCAAACTCCACGATGTAAGCAGTACGATATGAAAAAGTAAACTTTAAACCCAGAAGCTTGCATCGGACTGAGGAGAGCATGCTTACCAAGTTTGGTGACTCCGGCTGTTAAATTTTTGGAGATCCTTGCGTTAATACAGACAGGCGGGCGGAAGAACAGACGTACTGAAGGACAGTTGGATATATAAAGAACGACTCGTCTCATATGTACGCCTGCTTCTGGGTATACATACTACATAATAATAATTTTATATACTTCCTATGTAGGTCAAATTTACAATCAATGGTATCCGTAGCCATTAGATTAAGTAGATTTAAAAATATAAACAGAATATGTATATGATATCAAAAGCAATAAAAGTCTCTCTATAGCCACTACTTAAGAAAATTGAACTAAAATCTGCAATGTTACATTTGCATGTTTTAACTAAATACTGGTTGGTTCTTACTGCAGTACTAAGTTTAGACGTACTAGCTTTTTTAGCTATTAATTGAAGCGCCATAAAAATGTGTCGTGATTTGAGCGCAAGAAAGAATGAAGAATGCTATCGGGCTAATCAGTTTTGATATTTTCCTGATCCTGGTCTATTGTTGTTATAAGTTTTAGTATCAAAGAAAAAAAATCTCATTTCATATTACAGTTGACGTACTTAAATTTTTTAAGCAAAATCAATAGACTGGAAATATTATACATATACTATATACAAATATACTAGAATTTTCATATTTCGCTGTTTAAATTGTTCAATGCTATTGCAGCTGTTTCTAATGACCTGGATATGAAGAAGGAGTCTTTGTCCTATAGTTGATGTTTCTATTTAAAGGAGTGTACATGCATATATATACAAAGCAACATCAAAGTACAAATTTATCATAAACACGCCGCCAAATTAAGCCAAAACGCCTCCGTGTTGTCACTAGGTTTAGCTGCTGGTAGCTACTGCTACTGCTACTGCTGTTGGATCGCCTCTTCCGCCATACTAATTAGATTTCAGTACACGAGCCGACTACTTAAAGTTCAAAATAGTAATTAAAAGTTTTGTCAGTCGTCGTCGCAGTAGACAGTAAAATGGCGGCATCGCATTATGGCACGACGAACGCCACAAAGCTGTCGAAAAATTGACCTTAATTCGCTCAAAAAATATATATACGAGTATAGCGCTCAAAAAAGGGGACAGTGCTGATGAGTCGACGAGTTGACGAACTGACGAACAGCGTCCTTTTGTGTCACAAATTTACAAATATTCCTACACGAAATGCAAATATTTGAGCAAAAGTTTTGATACAGCGCGACGCAGATTTCATTTCGTAATGTTGCAAGCTCCTTTACTGAAATATTAACTACTTGAAGTGGGTCTTCAGTTTGGTGCGTGGGCCGGGGATTGCGGCAAAAGCCCACACATAGGCTGCGGGCCTTAAAATATATTTTGCATTCGGCTGCTGTTTTATTAATTTGAAATTCATCAAACGTCTGTTTGACTGGCTGTGAAGGGCTGGTGTGCTTCGATGTTTTCTTTCCTTTACGTTTGAGTTTAATTTTTGGCTCCTTCTTTCATTACAGCTGGGCACCTTGGTACCAATTGCAACACCCGCACCACCCACCACAGTGGCACCATCTGTGCGTTTCGACTTGCAATCGAAGAACTTATTAAACAGCCCCCCACCATTGCTCAACACGCCGACGGTAAGTAACAGAGATATGTGTCGGTACAAAGATTTACAAAATTCTATACACGTCACTTTTCTTACTAATATTGATGAAATGGTTTCTATGCAAAGAACTGCCTTTTTCAAATTTCAAACCTTTTTTTTTTTAAGTATGCATCAGTATCTTAATATTCATCCATTTGTTGTTTTTATAAATGTTATCATTCGTAAAACTTTGTCTGTAGCATTAAGATGGTTTGTGCAATAATGAAGGAAGGGCACCATAAATATAGTATATACAACAATGCCGTACAACATGAAAAGTTATAAAAGCAATAAGCATATTTAATAGTTTTGTTTTGTTGTTTTGTTTTTTAAAACAAAAGGAGATTGAAAATAGTACAGATATTATTATTATTTAGTATTGTTTTTTCCCACTACACTACCATAATCGTTATTCATTCTACCGCCTGGTAAGGGGTGGAGTATTGGCATACAATACTTGTATATAAAAATAGGATAGAGGTTAGAAAAATGAATCAAAATTACAGTAGTCTGCAATTGTTGCTAGTGGTAGAGATGTCCACGTCACTCAACTAACCAATACATTTGAGTTAATGAAATTTCGATTATCAGCTGTGTTGAGTATAATCAACGCATAAGAATTAAACCATTCAATTTAGTTCAAAATGCCCTCCAGCCATGTCATAGAAATTTCTATATTCCCCTTACTACACGCAGTCAAGTAAATAAATAACATAATTTCTATGAATTTGACGAAATATGCGCATCCTATGGTTTATATACATAACTAAACAGACCAACACGCTTAACTTTTTTTACGACAGAAATTTTGTTACCATGCAAATATTTACATTGTATGTTTACGTATTTATTTAACCAAAATTTAATAATTCTCTTCAAAGCTGTTTGCATCGAAACCGTTTTTGCAATTTTCTAATTTACCTATAAAATTGTTCACACTCCACAATTATCGATACATCATGATTAAACCAAAGCTCATATACAAGTATGTACTCGTATGTATATGTGCACAGTTTTGTGAAACAAGTACTACAACAAATATGTATAGTACAAGCGTAAAATACACACACAGAAATATTACTAATTCAATAATTAATACAAAACAGTAGAGAAAAAAGCAAATTTTATTAATAGGCACTACTAAAATCGTTAATAATTAATTGTTATTAAATGCAGTTCACAACCGCGCCCGAATACGAAACGGTAATTAAATTAAACAAATAAAATACAATATTCGCCTACTAATAACAAAAAACGACCAAAACCAAAATGATTCAAATTAACGCATCCAATATAATTATAGTACATAATTTCGTTATGTTAGTTGGTCTATGGAAATGTTTCTAATTAGTGCAAATTGCCTTTTAAGTTCAGTGTGATGTAACGAACAAAATTGTTGTAGTTGCTTTTCATTTTGTTGTGCTTTATATTCTTGTTTCTCTTAACTGTTTGTGCCGATAGGCTGTCTAAAAAAATACACCTTTTGGTGCAATGAAAACTCACATTTCCAGCTTCGAAATGAATTGTAATAAGCGGCTAATACTGGGTAATGAGTCATTTAAAGCATTATTAAGAATCGTGGTTATGGTTGCAATCAAAATTTTTTAAAATTTTAATTTCATTAAATTGAAATTAAAGTGATTGAAAGTTCTGAAAAATAGATCCGGAGTAATTTATTACCATTAAATAATTCAGAAATAGTCATTGGCAATGAATTCAGAATCAAATACTCTTTCCTATTAATTTTTAGCCAATTAACGTGAAATAGAAGAAATATTTGTAGTATTGCGATGAAACTGAGACGCAATAGACTTTCAGGGTCATAGTGTTTGCATATATGTGTATTTATAAGTGAGAATATATAGAAATACCCCTCGAACATCAAGTTTAACTCAAACAGAAGCTGCTTAGTTGATAAATTTAAAAATCTAAAAGGAACTTTACCATTTTCTGCAAAGATCAAGCACTCGACATCCAGTTCAATTGCATTACATAATGTTTTAAACAGCCTATTGCGAAGACGGTAAAAGAACTATCTTAGAATATAAAAGTTGTACTTGTTCTTATATTTTTACAAGTATTGTTTCAAAATCAGCGTAATTGAGCCTTTATCACATTTAATAGTTCTTTGATTTATGAACGTTTTTTTCGCTATTTAGCCCAAGAACTAAGTGTTTCTAAAAGTCTTTTAACAAGCTTCTTTGTATTTTGTATCAGTTTAGAGTATTCAATATGGTCGTATACATAGTTTGCTCTATTTTTGTCTTCTAATAAAATAAGAAACGTTGAATGTACTCGGAATTTTACAAAATCATTTTTATTTTTTTTTTTACGCTTGCGCGACTTTGCTGCAAATGCTGGAAACGCTACAAATAATTAAAAAAAAAAAAACAATAATGCCAATCGTAGTGGTATCCACGAATGGTGAGTGCTTAAGGATCCATTAAAAAATTTCCCAATCAACTGTAATCTGAGGTTACTTTTTAAATTAGCTGCCCACACATTTTCGAATTAATTGTATATTTACTTTGATATTAATTTTGTTCCCTCATTGGTTTTCTACAAACATTATCATTTTAATGGCTGTTCCCAATATTTTGCATATTTTTGTCATTCTCCAAACAGTCATAAAAATCTCCATTAATTAAATTTGAAAATATTTGAAATAAATTCTCGATTAATTACCTGCCATATTTTCAATAGCTGCGCGTAGCGGCTCTAAATGAGCCCTATGTAGGCGACCTGCAAGGAATTCGCGGTGCCGATTTCGCCTGTTATCGCCAAGGACGACGCGCCGGGTTGCGGGGCACATTCAAAGCGTTCCTCTCATCCAGGTAAGTGCACCACGTCCGCCTAATGAGGTGTGGCTGTCAGTTCAGTGTGTGTGTCTTATCTACATTTAGACTTTTCTTTTATGGGAATATACTCGGCTTCGAAGTGTGGGCACTCCGGCATTATTTTGCCAGACTCGACAGTTTTGTATAATAAATTGGCCAGGCTCGCTCTGTTCGATGGGAGGGCGGTGCTTATGCGCATCGTGTGCCATGGCCGCACTTTTACGAGTAGATACATGGACTAACCTTTCAGGCTGAGCTCATTAGCTGGAATTTAATCTTGATATTTGAGACCAAAGCGAGCGAAAAGCGCAGAAAATATGAAAACAAAAGCTTTTGAAAACAATTTCGTACAATTTATTTGCACAACGTCAGGCTCCGAGTGCTCTGTGTGGTTGGGCTTGGTTTTGTTTGGGTGGCGCACAAAACGGTGAATGACTGACGTGTGGAGCAAGGGCAGTGGATAAAGGGCGGTAACATGAAGGGGAGAGGTTAGGCAGTCGTTACGGAAATGCCGTTTGATGGCATACGCAACAAAATGAATACTAACGCTGCCGGATGGAAAAAAGAAAAACATAAATAAATAAAAAGAACATGTGGAGAGAGGCACGTACTACCTACAACAGCCGAGCTGTAGACGATAGAGATGGGAATTTCAAGCAAAACTTAAACAGTATCTGTTCTGTTGCGTGTTTAAAAGCTCCATCAAAGGAATACATTTGGCATAACAATTAGACTCCTAGACCTTTTATTAAAAACTACAAATAAATTACTTTGTACTATTGTGTTACTTACCCTAAAAGTTTGCTGTTTTGTCATTACTTGATATACTAATTATACATAGTACAAGCTAAAATTTACAAACTTAAGCTATGAAAAGGCGGAAAAAAATTAAAGCTTATGAGAAAATTAAATGGCATTGAGGGAACAACAGTAGAAATATAAAACTAACTTGTACGACTTATTTTGACTAAAACACATGAACTGAAAATAATATTCATAACAAGATGCTAGACTATTTAATCATTAGTTGTCGCATGCAAGCGTCCAGCAGTATACTAAACAAAGCAATATACTAAACTAAATACTGAATACCTTATGCAGAGTACAAAATCTGGACTCCATTGTGCGTGTGGCCGACCGTGATCTGCCCGTTGTCAATACGCGAGGCGATGTGCTCTTCAATTCGTGGAAGGGGATTTTCAACGGACAGGGTGGCTTCTTTTCGCAGGCACCGCGTATTTACAGTTTCAGTGGCAAGAACGTCTTGACAGATCCATTATGGTAATTGACAATTTCTGGCTGGAGCTTAACGAACCACTGTACTGACTCCTTCGCCCCTTCTTCTGTTATTCCATTTGCACAGGCCGCTCAAGTTGGTGTGGCACGGCTCGCTGCCAAATGGGGAGCGTTCAATGGACACTTACTGTGATGCCTGGCATTCGAGCGCACGGGACAAATTTGGCTATGCCAGCAATTTGCTTGGCAATAAGCTGCTCGATCAGGAGCGCCAGAGTTGCGATGGCAAGCTGATTGTGTTGTGTGTGGAGGCATTGTCGCAGGATCGGCGGAAAAAGCGGGATGTTAGCGACAGGTGAGTGTACCATTTGAATAAACAAACATACATACTTGTATGTATATGCTTGCAACATTGAAATAATTTCTATTGATTTGGCATTAACATTTTATGGCTACGAAACTTTGCTCATTACAGTCAACGGCAGCTCGACGAGTTCAGCACGGCTCAGGAGTATGCGGCGCATTTAGACAATTTACTGCTGTAAGGCGGGCGAGCCCTGATGACAACAACAATGCCAGTCATTCACAGCGTACATGCGTACTCTCAGAATCACAATCACACAAATACAAATACAAACACAAACACATACTACACACATTAAATGTAAACGTAAATCATGGCCATGCATATAATCAGTGAATTCCAAACAAAACCAAAAAATACTTAAGTAAAACAAACGGCAAGTGCGAGATTGCATAAAAATACATACATACTATACATACATACATACATATTGTAGGTAATAAAAACACTAATAAATAGGCAGATCAAATAATTTGTAATATGTAAAATTTTTGTATGTTCGACAAAAACAACAACTGCAACAAAAATAACGAGAACCGTTTTTGTACAAGCGACGAAAGGTATTTGTAACTTTATGGTAAATATAATAATATATAAAACCTAATGTAATTTTATAATTAAGAACACGTTGCGCATCATACAGAACTGCATAGTATTCAAGTAAATACATACATGCATACATACATACTCACATATTTATGCATATCTCTTGTATGTATTTAGAGAAACAGAGCAAATCATTTCCAACTGCGTACACAGGCCAAATTAGTCTCCTATGTATTTAGAAGCGCGACAAAACGATTGAAGGACACAACTAAAGGAAAACTCCACTGGAAAATACATTTTAAAAATGGCTGCTGTATATACATAAATACATATACATACATTCATATTAATGTATTTTTGTCAAAAGACTTCTAAATGTGTAAATGAATTAAAACAAACAACCACAGAATACGATCGATTTTCTAAACCAAACATTTTTAGCTGTCAACTCTATTGTGTAGAGATTAAGAAAATCACGAACATTCTGTTTTTATAAGAAACACACAAAAACAAAAGGGAGGATAGAAATACTCAATTCAGATTTTGATTTCTAAAATTTTTACTCGTAGTTGCAATTGGAATACTCAATATTAAATATTTATATGAAAACCAAACGATTTTTTATAAGAGCGTAACTGAACAAGTGGAGATAAATCGTAGCCATAAATTCAAAAATATTATGCATATAAACAGAAGTGTAACTTTAAAAAACTACGAATATTTAAAATGAATTATAGTTCTAGTTAGTTACATAATTTCTTTTGCATTTAATCAATGCATTTCCAGCTTAATACTGTATTGTAATAAATTATAATTGTAATACATAACTTAAGATCTAAGGTAAACAACAAAAACTCCACACGCAACTTAAATCAAGTCAGTTAAACAGAAGAATGGAAGGTACTAAAGAATAAATATATACATAATACAATTAATTACATTTAGTGAAATCAAAATGAACACAGAGAACCCTCTAGTCGTAAGCTTAAAATATTTAAATAAAAAAAGTAAAAATAAATAATAAAAAACCAAAAACAATACTTAAAACAAAGCAAAACTTACAACTCTTATCCATTTTGTTGGCGAAAGCTGGAGAACCACTGGGGTGGCTTTCATTTTTCCAAGCCATATATATGAGTAGTTTTTCTTACATTATTGATTTTCAACATTAATAAACGTCGAGCTAAAAACCCTGATGCAAAAATCGAGGCACAAAAATAATTTAGACTCATTTTCCTTTTTCTAAATACATTTTAGTATATGTATATGTATATACTAGCTAAAAAATTTACGTGCACGATATGTTTAAACTATCCCCACTCGAAAGAAATATCTACATTTATCGTAGAAAGTTTTTATAAGTTCATCAATATATAAAGTCTATGTATATAAAAAATACTGCATGAAGTAAATTTGAATGCACACCATTAGTAACTTACCAATATATTTATCTCGCATACAAGTAGATGAATAAAAACAAGAACTTTATTTTTTGATATTTCTTAGAATTTGTGGAATTTATTTAAAATCTCCAATCCGGAATTATAATTTAATGTCATTACTTATGTTTTTCAGGATTCTGGGCAATGCTCTAAAAACTTTGATTGAACTTCGGCAGAGCAGAAAAGTTCGCATTGATATTCAGGCAAAGTTTATGCCTAAGTTTTGTCTATGCAAATAAAGCTTTGCCCCCCGTATTCAAATACAAGTATTTTGTGCATGCATGAGCACGTAAATTTCTCTCATAACAAATAAAACAAAACGAAAACAAAATTGTTAGCCTACGATTGCGTGCGGCAAGAAATTACTTTGATCAATATTTTTCATTTGACTTGGAATCAATTTTCATTTTCATTTCGATTTCATAAAACAAAAACCCATCAAAAATGCCACACAAGCGCTTCAAAAAACACAAAAGAAATCTTTATTTCAGACATACAACCGCCAACTGCACGATTGTGTATGGGTATCAGTGTGTGTGTAACTGTGTGTGTGTGTGTACAAGTTGGCAACCAATAACCAAATAAACAGCTATGTTCCGTCAGCAGCGCGTATTTGATAAGCAATTTAAATAATTTTTCACTTGAATTAAAGCAAATGATTTCAAACAAAAAGCGCAAGGAAGGCTCCAAATTCGGCGCGCAGATATTGATGCTTTATGAATTTCAATGCCCAGGCAACATAGTTGGTTCTGACAGTCAATCCGACAGTTAAACAAGCACACAAGTCGGCAAACATGCAGACATTCAGACAATCATACATACAGACAGACATACGGGCAGCAAGGAAACCAACAGCCAACGGTTGGGATTGTGAATGCCACTTAGGCGCAAGGCAATCAAACCAGATGAGCAAGATGAAATTTTAATTTAATGAATGAATACGAAAATTTTGTATTAGTTGATTAGCTGCGTAGTCAGTGAAGAACTGGAGCTGGAACTGAAACAGAAACTGAAGCAGAGGCCCGTGCGGCCATTGTGTGTTAAGGGAGTGGTTGGGTGTAGGTGGAAACTTGTGGTTAAGGGCTGTTGTTGAGGTCATCGCAGTTGTGTAGATATACAAGTACACTGCTAAAATCTGCGTACTACCACCTCTTCATATGCCATTTAAGTTGTATTATTTGCACTTTTCAATTAGGCGCCGCAAACTTTTGGAATTCCATGTGCCTGACAATGTCATTATTCATCATAACACATTTAGCCTTAAGCTTATTAGATTTCACTTTTGTGCCCAAGCGCGTTTACAAGTTTTTCGGCATGTTATTCTTTTTTTATATTTTTATTATACGTAGCAGCAAAAAAGGAACAAACAACATACATGCGCAACTTTCTTGTCGCACTTCACGCAGAGCATCCCAAAACATGTTGCAAACATTTGGGCGCACATCCTCCCTGACAGGCGGGTACAAGGATGCTGTAGATTTCACAGCTCCAGCACGTTCCACATGTGAATGTGCGGCACTAAACTCTAACCACACAAGCATATGTCACGAATAAAAACAATTTATCATTTAGCTTATCAAGCGCGGCCTAACGTCCATTATTTTGCGAACGCCATGCCCAGGAATTGTTTTTTGATGATAGCCCCAAGTTAAATAACAGGCGCTTGCAAAAAAAAGGAAAGGAACACCAACAAAGTAACATAAGAAATTGCCAAGAAATTATTATTGTTCTAGTTCTATAAATGTAGTACAAACGTAAGTATGCATGTACGAATGCCTATGTGATTTTGATTACGACTGATTGGAGTCGCCGCAGTCATTGGATTACACCTACATACATATGTATATGGTATACATATTTTCTATATAGGTACAGTTGAAACACGATAGCATTTCTAATAGCTAGACGGCCGTTTCATTGTAGGATTTCATTTCTAAAATACTTGTATATTTTTCGCCTTTATGTAGAAAATCCTTTGAAACCCAATAAAATAATTTAATTTAAAACAATCATGTTTGCTTAAAAATTCTCTGAGCCAAAAACAACGGGCATAATTGAGTTTTTATTTTAATTAAAGCCCATGTGCTTAGAAAGATAGTTTGATGTGTATATTTTTAACCTCAAGCTATAAATGTAAATAAAATTACTACGTATTCCAAACCAATTTGTTTGCTACTCTCATAAATTTACATTTGTTTATTTTGGATGTTTATCTTACAAGTATTTCGAAATTATGCTGTTATGTTTATGTTTCTTCAAAATTGATTTTCTAAATTAAGAAATAGAACGCTTATGCATATTAACAAAAAATAAACATGTTTAAGAGATATTGTATTATTCGAAATAGGTCTGTTAATAAAATACAACAAATTGTGCAGTTAGGCTCATTATAATCGAGGCCTAACTGTTTTGGTGTATGGTAGAAGTTTCGCAAATACTATTATGGCTGCCGCCTGCATTCAACAGCTCTGTATGCATGCGCGACCTAACGTGTAACTAAAAACCAACAATTATGCATGCCGAACCGCAAAAACCAATGCGCCAGCAGCGACTACTACAACGATGACGATGACGACGTAGCTGACGACGATGTTGGCGGCGGTGACAGGAACGTGGTTGCCACATCAAAATTTGCATAACTTTGTATGATTTTTCAACGGCGCAACGCCACAAAATCATTCATACATACATTCCATTCAAGCAGCGCATACACACACACAGACACACACACACACACACGCAATGTCAGTGAGCCGTCAACATTTCAACTTGTCAGGCGAGCAGCAGCACACACGCACACTCATTCACATACTGGTGTTGCAGGTGCATGCCAAGTCGAAGACGCCGATTGGCGGACTGCCATGAGGCGAGCCCGGGACCGAGACTGAGACTGAGACCGTGCCAGAGGGTTATGTTTTAGTATTGCTGTGGGGCAACACCTTCACTTTGTCGTGCTGCATCATGTGGCATTCGATATAGCGAGGGCTTTTGTTGCATACTTTGCGGCGCAGCGTTGTCGACAACATATTATTTGTGCAACGTTTTTGCGGAAATGTAACTGAAAACTTGCAATTTGTTTGACGTTTCGGTATTTTTCGTTTGAATTTATAATGCTTCTGGACTTCAACACCTGCGGTTTCGTCCCCCTCTCTTTCGGTATCTTTTTTCTCACTGTGATGTTTTTGTTTGTACTTACAATGACCCGCGAGACTTATGGATTGATATCAGGTTTGAGGGGTATGTATGTGTGTGTGTGTGTGTGTGTGTGTTTTGCTGATTGGTAAATAGCCAAGAGTGAAAGCTATTAGTCAGTCGTACCCACAAACACCAACACGCACACACGATACACGCCCCCCTATATATATATACCTTTGTATGTTTGTTTGTTTGTTCATGCAGGTTCGCATATTTATGTAATGCCGCCGCAGCAACACAAAAAGGTAGCAACTTTTAATTGAAAAACTTGAGCACTTCCAACTTGAGCTCACACATATATAAATACACATATATATTTACACACCTATGCAGTCAGCGATGTGGCATATGTATATATTGTATTTCCGCGCTACTCACTTACAAATACAACACAGCACACCCACACACAGATACTCACTTGCACACATTACCAATTCCAGCAACGGCTGCCTTTCTATTAGCAATTGTAACAGCAGCAGCAGCAGCAGCAGTAGCAGAAGCAACAACAACAACAGAAACAGAAACAGCTGCGGTAGAAACTGCCTTGGCGCATTGTCGCCGGCATTACTCAAGTTGTTAGCAATGTTTACAAACACAATAAGCAAATACGACGACGGTGGCGACGATGACGATGACGATAGCAGTAACTTTCAGCTACTGTTAACTCGTCCGCGACTCTCATTCAGTTGCTGCTGCTGTTTTTGTTTTTGTTGCACGTGTAAGCGCGTAACCTGCACAGGTGTAGGAGACTTTAAGGCGCCACAGTTACCTCTACAGTCAAACAACTTTAGCAAGAATAATAGAGGCCATTAATTGGGTTATTAAACAAAGTAATCATTCCGATAGTATCATATAAATAATATTTATTCTGGATCTGTAACAGTTTTTGTTTCGGATATTCATCTCTTCACATCGACTCATATAGCAATATCTTATGAATCACTTAACAGCCAATTGCCCTAGCCTTCAAATTATTATTTATTAATATTCACTTAAAATGTTACGCATTCATTGTATTCGTGGGGAATATTTTAAAAACCATTTGACTTCCATGCAAGACATAGAGACATAGACCTAGGAATCTATCTATCCTATTGAATATATATTTTTGAATAAGTTTAATTCACTTCTTGTTCCTACAAAG